CTTCCGGAAGAAGCCACTAATGATGGCTAGAAAAGCGAGAGGGCACGGCGGGGAAGCAGAAGGCACAGCGCCCCCTGGCTTTGGGGAGTGGAATCGTTGCTGGAAGCGCTTTGGAGGATCATCTAGGCCCAATGGCTATGTGCGCAATGTACGCGAGGAGTGGAAAGACTCGGTTTCCCACAAAGCCATGGCCCCTAAGTACAGACGCCGATTGGAGGAGGAGGGCAGAGGCTACTGAGAGGAGAAAGAGCGGGCGGGGCTGGTTAGTCCTTTAAAAATAAAAGGGGTGCCAGGTCTAGAGTCCCTGAGCCAAGCCGACAGCTGGAGACCTGCCACAAGCGTAAGCAAAGGAGGCGAGACTCCGAGGGAAGTACTGTTCTGTGCAGGAGCGTGGCATTAGGCGACTTTTCTTAGAGTCCTGATTAGCTGCTGCTGCCAGAAAATAAGCCAGCGTAGGAGACAGAAGTAAACAGCGATTTATTCATACTCTCTATACGCATATATACATTCCTACACATTCTGTTGCAAACGTGTGTCCCATAATTCGGAAGAGGACATTTACATATTACATATTACATACGAGAGAGACCTTCTTGGGCAGCATTTTGGATCAAACGGGTACAGCTGGGGACAAAGTACTTAGCATAACAAAAGAAGATGCTTTTAAACTGTTACAAAGGAAAGAAGGTGCCCTGGGTGGCAGATCCACTTACGTTAGACCAAAGAAAACTAAACCTTCTTTGTCAGTCAGTTAATGAGTCCTTGCTAAGAGCCTCCTAAGTGGTTTTATCTGATAGGATAAAGAGAAAGGGACTACTTCCTTGAACCTCCCCGGTCCGGAGGAGTCCTCTTTTGTAGTGGTTAAGAGGAAGGGAGATTTTGAAGGACTGGGACGTTTTGTTTTCCAGAAGTACCTGCTGAGACATTATAAAACAAAAAGGAGTTACCTTCACCGAAGTTTCCAACTCTACTGAGATTTGTCAAGTCATTTTTTTTGTCAAGTATTTATTACCTGTATGCCAGACAATATGCTATGTGCTGAGGATAAAAAGGAAAGCAACAACAGTTCCAATTCTCCAGGCGTTCACGACCTAATGGAGGAGATAACAACATACTGTAAACAACTATGTACCAACCAGAAATTGTTGAAAGTTATGTCGACTCAGCATCCCATTGTTCCCAGCCCTGCTTATCAACCAGTGTTGGGGGAGGCTCAGGTGGGGAGATACCAAGTCTACCAGCTCTCTGTATCACCTGCTTTTTGTCACATACCCCTACCTGCAAATTGTCGTGTTCTTGCTACCTTGGGGAGCAAGTGAGATGCAAGGGCCCAGCCCTTTTGCTGAAGTGGACCTACCCAAATTGTCTTAAAATTACCTATGTAATCAGCCCATCAACGTGTTTTACCTTGACGTACTTGTAATAAAATCATTTTAATTCTCTTTATCCTGAGTTTTGCCTTGTTATTCAGGGTGAAAGCCTAAATGAAGAATTTTCCTTTCAACAATATATGTAGAATAAATTGGAGATGGTCTCAGAGGGAAGGCACTGGCATTAAGGAGTACCAGGAAAGGCTTCTGGCAGAAGATGGGATTTTAGCTGAGATCTAAAAGGAAGCCTGAAGGTGGAAAGGAAGGAAAGCATTCCAGGTACTAGGGATGGCCAGGGAAAATGCAAAGATGGTCAACTGTCTTATGGGAGGAACAACTGGTAAGCCAGTGCCACTTGGATCCCAGAAGACATAGAAGGGGGAAGTAAAGTGTAAGAACACTGGAAAGGCAGGAAGGGGCTGAGTTATGAAGGGCTCTGAATGCTAGAGGATTTTATATTTGATCTTGGAGATGATAAAGATGTTATAAAGATGACCTCAGACTCAGTTCCGAAGACTGGGGTCTCAAAGACTTTTTATTAAAGAAGTTGAAGTCAGTCATTTCCATTCTCACGAGAAGCAGGAGCACCTCCTTGGAAGGAGAGAAAATGCGCAGGGTAAAAGAAGCCAGAGCAATCTTTATAGTTAGTAATTGCCTAACTCCTTCTTTCTGGATCAGAATTGGTCCTAATCCTTTTGGGTTAGAATCTTCCTTATATGCCCCACCCCTAACATACCTTATGTGCCTAGAATTGTGTTATCACTCCCCTCCTTGGACTGAGAAGTTAGCCTGTCTTGCTGATTTCTTATCTACTTATATGTGGAAACTTAACTCTTTCATTTCTCACAAAAGAGTTTTGAATTGGGGGTGTAACATGTTTAGACCTATAGTTTAAGAAGATCAATTTGACAGGTTGAATAGAGGATAGACTGGAGAAAGGAGAGACTTGAGGAATGGAGAACCAGAAGGCCACTTCAGTAGTTCAAGGATGAGGTCATAAGAGCCTGTAGCAGGGTGGTGATAGTGTCAGAAAAGAGAAGGTAGAACCAAAATGACAGGTCCTGGCAACCCGAGTGGATATTGGGGGTAAGGGTGAGGATTCAAGGATGGCACCTACATTGTGATCCCCGGTTACAGGGAAGATAGTGGTGTCCTCAACAGTAATAGGGGCTTTTGGGAAAGGAGAAGATTTGGGCTAAAAGATTTTTTGGGGCTAAAAGAGTTCAGTTTCTTTTATGTTAAATATTAGATGTCCAACAGGGAGCTGGAGATGCAAGACTGGAGATCTGAAGAGAAGTTAGGACTGGATAAATATATCTGAGAATCATCTGAATAGAGAAGATAATTGCATCCTTGGAAGCTGATGAGATAACCAAGTGAAGAAGTATAAAAGAAGAGGGCCCAGAACAGGGCCTTGGAGGACACTTTGGATGAAAATCATCCAGCAAAGATTGAAAAGAAGTCAGATAGCTAAGAGGAAAACCAAGAGAGAGTAGTGTCTTGAAAACCCTGGAAAGAAGAGAGCAACATGTGGTGGCTCCAACCAGCACAGTTTCAAGATTCTCTCCAGCTTCCTTCATTAGCACAAGAATAGCAGTGAACTCAGTGGATGGTTGGAATAATCCAAGGCTGAGAGTAGGCCAGGAAGGGTCTTTGATATGGCAAGGGGGCAAGGGATTTGAGAGGGAAGAACAGTGTAGTTGAACTGATTCACTAAGGAGTCAAAATGGGGAAGGGAGGGGTATAATTAGGACAAGGGTAGAGGGATTTCTTCTATTGGTGATATAAATTCTTTTATGTCAGAGATTGACCTCTTATGGACCTGGGGAAGGATAAAAATCCATTCCTTTGCCATTGGGGCTTGGAGATGGGCCCCGATTTTAGTCCTTGGAGCCTTTATGTGATATATAGCCTCAGATTCTAGAAGGACTGGGTTCAAATTCTGCTTCTGATACATACTGGCTATGTGACCCCCATAAATCACTTAACCTTTCAGTTGCCCTAGGCACCTCTCTAAGGCTATAAATTGCAAGGCAGATTTAAGTTTGCATTTTCTCATGGGGGGGCCCTCTATATCAATGAAATCACAAATCCTATATGTAAAAACAATTTTTATCATTTGTTTTTAAAACTTTGAGTTCCAGATTCTCTCCCTTCCTCCCTCCCCACCCCCTCATTGAGAAGGCAAGCAATTTGATATAGGTTATACACATGTAATCATGCAAAACATATCCATAATAGTCATATTGTGAAAGAAAACATAGACAAGGAAAAAAAAACCTCAAGAAAAATAAAGAAAGTTTAAAAAAAGTATGCTTCAATCTGTACTCAGACACCATCAGTTCTTTCTCTGGGGATGGATAGCATTTTTCATCATGAGTTCTTCAGAGTTGTCTTAGATCATTGTATTGCTCAGAATAGCTAAGTCATTCACAGCTGACCATCTTACAATATTGCTGTTACTTCGTACACAGTACATTTCACTTTGCATCAGCCCATGCAAGTCTTTCCAGATTTTTCTGAGAGCATCCTGTTCATCATTTCTTATAGTACAATAGTATTCCATCAATCACATACCACAACTTGTTCAGCCATTGCCAGAGTGATGGGCTGCTTCTCAGCTTTTAATTCTTTATCCCCAGAAAAGAGCTGCTATAAATACTTTTGTACATATAGATCCTTTCCTTTTTTGTTTTTTTAATCTCTTTTGGGATACAGACCTAGTAGTGGTATTGCTAGGTCAAAGGGTATGCATGGTTTTATAACCCTCTGGGCATAGTTCCAAATTGTAGGAGCTTGTTTCTTGGGGGTGAACTGGAATGCCCCAAGGGAGGTACAGAAAATGAGCCAAATTCAACTGCTCCTGAACTATTTATCTGGGTGATGGCAACCCTATAATGCCAGGCCCCTAACTGAAGAGGGAAGAACAGAAGATTCTTACCTCTCCCCTAGATTATTACAAAGGCCTCTTAATTGTTCTCTTGGCCTTAAGTATCTTCCTACTCTAGTAGATGTTATATACTACTGCCAACTAATTTTTCTGATTATCCTATTGCCTCTAGGATAAAAGATAAACACCTGGGTTTAGCTTTTAAAGTCCCACACAAGCTAGCCCTAATTTATCTTTCCAGCCTCAGTGTACATTACACCCCATCCTACACTCTTCAGACTAGCCACACTGACCTTCTCCCTGATTGTCACTCAAACTACCCCATTTTCATACCCATGCCCCTCCACCAGCTATTCCACATGCTTATGATGTACTCCTCGCTTCCACCTTATAGAATCCATGTCTTCATGTTGTAGCTCAAGGATCACTTTATCCATCAAGGGTGTCAAACAAAGACTGCCGAAATACTCCTGAGTACAATGGGAACCAGATTAAAATGTAATTGGGAAATATTTGACAACATAACTAAAAATGTGATAGATCATAGACAATAATGTGTGGTTTTCTAAGTCAGTATGCCCTGGCAAGGATCCTTACATGTGGGTCTAGTGGCTCATTTGAGTCTGACACCACTGTTCCTCATGATTCTTTTCCTGATCCCAACTGTTGGTGGTGCCCTCCCCACCAAATTACCTAGTATGACTATTGATAGCTTTGACTTCTTCTTCTGAAAACTTCCTGTTCATATCCTTTCAATTTTTATAAATTTAGCTCAGTTCCCCATATCTTTGAGCAATGAGGCTTTCATCAGACAAACTTTCTGTAAGTTTTTTTCCCCCAATGTCCTGCTTTCCTTCTAATTTTGGCTGCATTGGATTTGTTTGTGCAATACCTTTTTTAATTTCATGTAATCAAAATTATACATTTTACTTCCTGTGATCTTCTGTATTTTTTGTTTGATCATAAAATCTCCCTTTACCATAGATCTGAAAGGTAATTATACGGGCAGCACGCCGACCCTCTGCCAGTCATGCGCCAGTACCCACTTCTCTTAGAAGAAGTACACCACCAGAGTCTTACCCACGCCTGGGTCTTCGGTTCTGAGCCGGATCACCACACAGAGACGAGCCATTGGGAGGCACCAACACCAGAGCTTTATTCAGAGGCCAACACAGCAAACCATCATAGCAAGCCCAAACAGCAAGGCCAGAGCAACAGGGCAGGAGCCAGGGGAGAGCGCACGTGTGTGATCTGACCACGCTTGTTCCTAAGTACCTACTTAGCCCCTCCTCCCCAGCCCGCTACTAGCCAATGATTGTAGGGTCAGATACCGGAAGGGGCTGTCTGAGTTTAGCACACCAAGGGGGAGGGAGTGACGTAGGAGGCTAGGATTGGATACAGGAAGGAGGCATCTGGGATTGACGCATGGACAAGAGTACGTGACCTAGGAAGTCAGACTCAGGAGGGGACTGGGTCAGTGCTACACAAAGGGACCCGGAGGTCAGGAAGGTCACAAGAGGCATCTGGGGATGACGTTGCATATAGGGAGGGGACTAAGCAGAGGGAACTCAGTCCTCTGCCATCCCACTCCCACGTGGCACCGCCCCTTGCCTCAGGAGCTCAGGCTCGGCTACTTCCTTGCACCCAGCTTATCTCATAGCACTGCCCAATTGCCTCATGGCTTCTCCGTATCCAGCCCATCCCAGTACACACGACTCTGCCTACCACAGTCCCTGCCTCGACTTCCAAAATACCCAGATCTTACCTTACCCTTGCCACAGTACCCAACCTGGTAGCTGCCAACATCAGACAGTCCCTCACAGTAATTTTTTCCATGCTCCCTTAATTTGCTTTAAGATATTATACTAAATCACATACCTATTTTGCCCTTATTATGATACATGGTATGAATTTTTGGTCCATGTTTAATTTCTGCCATACTGCTTTTCTGTTTTCCTAGCAATTTTTGTCAAATAGTGAGTTCTTGCCCCAAAACTTGGATCTTTGGGTTTATCAAACACTAGTTACTTTGGTTATTTATTTCTGTATATTATGTACCTAATGTGTTCCACTGATCAACCACTCTTATTTCTTAGTCAGTGCTAGATTGTTTTGGTGATTACCACTTTGTAACATAGTTTGAAATCTATTGCTAGGTTACCTTTCTTCACATTTTTTTTTTTGATTCCCTTGATATTCTTGACCTTTTGTTCTTCCAGATTAAATTTGTTACTATTTTTTTCTAGCTCTATAAAACAATTCCTTGATAATTTGATTGGTATAGCACTAAACAACTAAGTTAATTTAGGTAGAATTGTCATTTTTATTATATTGGCCCCAGCTACTCATGAGCAGTGAATATATTTCCAATTATTTAGATGTCTCTATTTGTTTGAAAAGTATTTTGTATTGTATATACCCTTGTCATATCCCATGACAGTTCTCAAAGATAAGAACTCACTATTTGACAAAAACTGCTGGGAAAACTGGAAAACAGTATTGTACCGGCCGCACCGACCTTATGCCGGCCGCGCCGAACACTCCTCCTATAAGGAGCAGGCTGCCAGAGTCATACTCACTCATCAGTCTTCGGTCCTCAACCGGATAAACACACAGAGACGAGCCATCAGGAGGCGCCAACACCAGAGCTTTATTCAGAGGCCATCACAGCAAGGCCAAGCAGGAAGGCCAGAGCAACAAAGCAGGAGCAAAGAGAGGGCGTGATCTGACCACGCTCTCATTCCTTAAGTACCTACTAGCCCCTCCTCCCCAGCCCGCTTACTAGCCAATGATTGTAGGGTCAGATACCAGAAAGGGCTGTCTGAGTTTATCACACCAAGGGAGAGGGAGTGACGCAGGAGGCTAGGACTGGATACAAGAAGGAGGCTTCTGGGATTAGTGCATAGACAGAGTACGTGACCTAGGAAGTCAGGAAGGACACAGGAAGGAGGCGTCTGGGGTTGACGTTGCATATAGGGAGGGGACTAAGCAAAGGGAACTCGTCCTCTGCTGTCCCACTCCCACGTGGCACCGCCCCTTGCCTCAGGAGCACAAGCTCCAGCAACTTCCTTGCACCCAGCTTATCTCACATAGCACTGCCCACTGCCTCAGGGCTTCTCCGTACCCAGCCCATCCCAGTCCACCACGACTCCGCCTACCACAGCCCCTGCCTCGACTTCCAAATACCCAGATTCTACCCCAATCTTGCCACAACGGTCACCTGGTAGCTGGCAACATCAGACAGTCCCTCACACAGTATGACAGAAATAAATCAACATCTTATATAATATACCAAGAAACAGTCAAAATGGGTAAATGATTTAAACATAAAGGGTGATACCATAAGCAAATTAGGAAAACAAGGAATAGTTTACCTGTCAGATCTACGGAGAAGGGAAGAAGTTATGACCAAACAAGGGATAGAGAACATTATGAAATAAAAAATGGATAATTTTGATCATGGTATGTTAAAAAGTCAGCACAAACAAAACCAATGCAACCAAGATTAGAGGGAAAGCAAAAATCTGGGGGAAAGTTTTTTTAATAGCAACTACCTCTGATAAAGGCTTCATTTCTCAAATATGTAGAGTACTGAGTTAAATTTATAAGAATACAAGTCATTCCCAATTGACAAATGGTAAAGGATACGAACATGCAGTTTCCAGAAAAAAAAATCAAAGCCATCTATAGTCATATAAAAAATGCTCTAAATCATTATTGATTAGAAAAATGTAAATTAAAACAACTCTGTGGTACCACCTCACACCTACCAGACTGGCTAATATGACAGAAAAGGAAAAAGATAAATGTTGGAGGGGGATGTGGGAAAATTGGGACATTAATGGACTATTAGTGGAATTGTGAACTGATCCAAGTATTCTGGAGAGCAATTTGGAACTATGCCCAAAGACCTATAAAACTGTGCATACCCTTTGATCCAGCAATACCACTACTATATCTGTATCCCAAAGAGATTTTAAAGAGGTGGGGAGGGGGGAAGGACCTATTTGTACAAAGATATTTATAGCAGCTCTTTTTGTGGTGGCAAAGAATTGGAAATTGAGGGGATGCTCATAAATTGGGGAATGACTGAACAAGTTGTGGTATATGATTGTAATGGAATATGTTTGTGCTATAAGAAATGACAAACAGGCAGATTTCAGAAAAACCTGGAAAGACATACATGAACTGATGCAAAGTGAAGTAAGCAGAACCAGGAGAACATTGTACACAATAGCAGCAATATTGTATGATGAACAACTGTGAATGACTTAGCTATTCTCAGCAATACAATGATCCAAGAAAACTCCAAAGGACTCATGATGAAAAATCCTATCTACCTCCAGAGAAAGAACTGATGGAGTCTAAATGTAGATCAAAGCATACTATTTTTCACTATAACATATCAAATTGTTACTATCTCAGGGAGGGGTGAGGGAAAAGAGGGAAAGAATTTGGAACTCAAAAAATTTTTAAAGGATGTTGAAAAATTGTTTTTACATGTAATTGGGAAAAAACAAAGTCATTTAAAAATTGTATTCACATAATTATATTCCTATAATTCCTGAGTAGACTCCCAAGTATGTAATACTCTCAGCAGTTATTTTAAATGGAATTTCTCTTTCTATCCCTTCCTGCTGGGTTTTCTTATTAATATATAGAAATGCTGGTGATTTATGTGAATTTATTTAAATCCTACCACTTTGCTAAAGTTGTTAATTGTTCAACTAGTTTTTTAGCTGATTCTCTAGGGTCCTCTAGGTATAGCATCATACAATCTGCAAAGTGATAGTTTTGTTCCTTGTTGCCTATTCTTATTCAATTTCTTCTTTTTTTGGGGGGGTCTTATTGCTATAGATAGCATTTCTAGGACAACATTGAATAATAATGGTAATAATAGACATCCTTGCTTCACCTCTCATCTTATTAAGAAGGCTTCTATTTTATCCCCATTAAAGATACATATTGCCTTGTAATTCTCTATTTTGTATTTGTAGTATTTTTATATTGATTCTGCATATAGTTATTTATGCACTTGTCTCCCTTATTAAAATGTAAACTCTTTGTGAGTCGGGATTATTTTACTCATTTTATTTGTATTCCCTAGCACCTAGAACAGTGCCAAGCACATAACAGGGGCATATAAATGACTGTTGATTGATCAACGTGATTACAAGTCCCCTTCCTAAAACTGGTCCTCCTTGTACTACCAAATGTCTAAATACCCCTACATAACACAGGTTACATACAGATAAGGAAACAGAACCTGAGAGGGGAAATGAGACTCCAACTCACCCCAACTTTTAGTATAGATCTCATCACAGGTGCACCACTCTCAAGTGTGGCCTGAACCAGATTAAAATGTAACCAGGAAATATTTAACAAACTAAAAAAACAATATAATAGAACATCAATAATGTCAATATGTGGGGTTTTTTTTAAGTCATTATGTGGACAGCAGGGATCAGGTTAGTGGCCCTGTTTCTTTTTTACACCACTAGACTACACTATGCTGCTTCTCTTTGATTTCTCAGGCTTTGCAAAGATGAAGTATCGTATTTTCTCTTCCAGTATGGAACAGCAACAGCAACAGCAACAGCTCGAGACAGGAATCAGTCAACTCAAAGATGTTTGCTAAGCCTCCCAGGGAGCCTTTGGGGCCTCCCAGAAAGAGATGAAACAGTAGATGAGGCAGGCTTGCTCTTAGGAACTCACAATCCCGTTAGAAAAAGAGATTAACCATATACATGAGAAAATAAGCTTGGGGAGGGTGAAGGAGAAGAAGAAATTGGACGTGACTGCAATTCATCTAACCTGAGCAACTGGGAAGATGTTAGTGCTCCTGATAAAGAACCTCAGAGAAAAAAGAAGAAAAAAAAAGAACCTCAGGTAGGAGCAGGAAGGGGAAGAAGGGGGTATGATGAGTTTTTTCTTGGACAACTTTAATTGGAAAAGGCTTCTGCACCCCCAAGAGAAAAAGACAACTGGAAATGCGTTTCTGGTCCAGCTCGCGAAAGGGGTCGGTTAGGGCTGGACAGATGCGGCACGTCCTTGCACAGGCGATAACAGAAGCAGGGAGAAGGGATGAGAGGGCCGAGGGGAAGAGGGGTCAAGACAGATGCTACCCTCGGGTTTTAGCGGCACTGGAGGAGGGGCAGGACTGCAGTAGGTACCCTGGAGCGGCCAGAAGAGGAGAAGCACCAGGGCGTCGTGCCCAGAGTGAGTTTGGGGGAGGCCAACTTCCTGTCCCTAAAACGGCACCTCCTTCAGGACGTTCACCTGCGGGAGCCAAGGGATCGAGCCCGCCTCGGACTGGCATAAAAGTCCTCGGGCACTTGACCTCAGCCCCTTCCTCACAACATCTTTCAACATGTGGCCCCCACTCCAGGACCCAGGGAGTTCAATAACCTAGGAGCTGGGGCACCAGCTTCAGCTCCCCCAGTCCTCCGGTCCCTGCGTCCCAAGCTCCTCCTTCTGGCACCTGCCCCACGTGAGCAGAAACCGCCCTCCCCCCTCGGAACTGTTTTGGGCTCTGCTCGGCCGCCGTAGAACTGGCCTGCGCGTGCGCGGGCGAATCTTGAAGAAGGTTAAGATGGCGGCTTCCATGGCTGTGTCCCGGGGAATCCGATGGCTGGGGACAGCGGCCTGGCGGGTGACCCCTGTGGGGGCCCGCGCAGGTGCGGGGGGGTTTGGGGCTCGAGGGCGGGGCGGAGCGGAGGAGCGAGGGGTCAGTGGGGTGGGGAGGGTTGGGTAGGGATGGAGGTGTGGCGGCAGCGGGGACGCGCCGGGCCGCTAGCTCCTAGGCTGGGATCTGACTTCTGGCGTCCGCCCTGCCCAGCCTCGGGCCTCAGCAAGGACATGCTCCCGGGACCGTACCCCCGCACGCCGGAGGAACGCGCTGCCGCTGCCAAGAAGTACAACATGCGGGTGGAGGACTACGAGCCCTACCCGGACGACGGCTTCGGGTAAGGAGGTTGCCCCGGGGGCTGCATCCCCCTCCCCAGCCCGGGCTGCCGACGCCTAGTGTGTCACGCACACTGGTGGCCCTTATCAACCGATGGCGAAGTTTTCGTTTTGTTTGTTTGGGCTAAGTAGTCGCCGGTCTGGACGGGAGCCGGGGCAGCTTCCCTTTGACCCCAGCTGCCTCCTTGAACTTGAGCAAGGCAGGATCCAGTGGCAGCCGCAAGGCTTCCCAAGGATCTTTCGATCCCCGATGGTCTCATAACTCACTTGTGCCCAAAACAGAGCTCGTTCTCCTTCCTCCCAATCCCTCCTCACTGCCCAGCTTCCCAGGGACTGTCTAGGGCACCACCATCCTCCCAGTCACCTAAGATCACAACTTGGTTGTCATCCTCAACTCTACCAGTCTGTTGCCAAAACTTGTTTCTACCTTAACAACATCTCATATATGTCCCTTTCTCTCCATTCACACAGCCAATAGCAACACTGGCACAATTTCCCCTTACTTTATGCCTGGTCTCCCGGGACTTTCCAGGGCCTTCCTTGTGGGGTCTCTCTCCACCCAGCTGCCAAAGTATTCTTCCCAAAACCAACGTCTGACGGAGTCTCTCATTACTCAGTAAACTTCAGCAGTTCCAACTTAAAATCCTTTGGCTTCTACCTTTTCAGTCAGCTTACACTTTACTCATAGAGAGGACTCTTAGGTGCTCTACTGTCCAGCAACACTGGTCTACTTGAATTTCCTCTCCTGTGTTACTACATATCTCCATTCCTTGCTTTTTCACTGGCTCTCCCCCTGCCTGTAATACCCTGCCTCCTTCTCTTTTTGTCCTGCATTCTGTGTCTTTCCTCAAACCTTAGCTTATATCCCACTTTCTGCAAAAAGCCTGTCCTGGCTCCCTCATTTCCTGGCTCTCCATTGCCTCTTCTCTGAAATTGCCTCCCAGTTACATTATCCATATCTTATACATACATAGATTTTTACAGTGTCTCCCCCAGTACTATGTGAACTCCTTGACTGCACGGATGGTGTCTTTTACTTTCTTGTAGCTCCGGCATTTAACACAGTGCCTGGAACATAGTAGGTGTTTAATAAATGTTTGTTGATCCTGAGTGTTAGGTTCTGTGCTGTAGTAAGAGCCATTTCAATTGTTCCAACCCAACTGAGGGAAGGCTTAATATCTATAAGACCAATCCATAGAATCATAGTGATAGAATTAGAAGTATCCTTAGAAGTCATCTAGGTCAACCTCCTCATTTTACAGGTAAGAAAACTAAGGCCTAAAGACAAGGTTTGCCCAAGGTCACACAGGTTAGTAGCAGAGCTAGAATTTGAACTCAGGTTTTCTGATTTTAAGTTCCAATGCTATCTCCTAAATACCCCACTGCCTCTTACACAGAGGTATACATATGACTTATTCCTTACTTTGTGTGGCTTTTACTGTTCTTTGATTTTCTATGCTTTTCTAGGCTGGGTGGTCTTTCTGTGGTCACCATAATAATTGTTGAATAGGTTAGATGCAATTGAAATCTTACTCCTTCCTAATTGAGTCAGTCATTCAACAAACATTCAACAAGCTATTCATAAACCCATACTTCATGCACTGTAATCATCACTAGAGATCCCAAAACAAAACAGTTCCTTCCTCCAAGGCACTTACAGTCTAATGTGTGTGGGTGTGGGGGTGGGGGTGGGGAACAACATCTAATATGGGGAAGAACCGCTAACTCCAGTTATTCACTTGCCTTGTTAAGATTTGCAAAGCACTTTATACCCATTATCCCACTGGACAGATGGTCCTGTAGTAACCAGAAGCATCTATTCAACATCAGTGGTTATAATGAGAAAGAGGAATCTGTCTCTAATGTTTCCTTATTTTTTCACTTTCTTCTATTTTTGGATTTGACACTAATGTTGAAAAATGACTTTGGAAAGGCAAATAACCTAAGCCTCCATTTTCTCATTCATAAAATTAGGGAATCAGATTTTATGGTCTTTATGGTCTCTTCCAGCTTGTGTGTTCTGATTCTATGATTCTTCCTGTGAACTGAAAGGAGAGAATATACATTTTTGTCATTTTCACATGAACACAATTAAACTGTAATTTGAGCTTACATAGCAGTCTCATTCAATAAGTAGAATTTGGGTCCTGGGTCTAGGTCTTTGCTCAAGCAATCAACAAGTATTTACCAGGCCCTGGGGATACAAATACAAAAAATGAAGCCATCTCTACTCAATTTGCTTACATTCTAATGAATGAAACAACAAGTAAATGTGAAAATAAATGCAGCAAAATTATAAAGTTAGTAAATACCAATACATACAAAAAAGTAACTAAATTCAAGGAAAGGAGGGCACTTACGGGGAAATTAAGAAAGGCATCATACAGAAGTTGGTGTTTGACCTGTGTCTTAAAGAAAAAGAGGGACTCTGAGACAGTTAAGGAGAGAATGCATTCCTGGCATGGGGGATGACCAGTCCAAAGTCATGAAGATGGAAGATGAAATGTCATATGGGTGAGGAACAGAGAAGGCAGTTTGACTGGATTACAGTGTGGGATGAGGAGTAATGTCTAAGGAGGCAAGAAAGATGGGTTGGGGGGAGATTATGTAGGGCTCTCAGATGTAGTCAGAGAAGTTTATATTTTGTCCTAAAGGCACTAGTAAGCCAATGGGGTTAATTGAGTAGAGAAAGCTCTTGACTGGATCTATACTTAAGGAGTATCCCTTTAGCAAGTAGCTTGGAGTAGGATGCTGAGTTTCTTTGTGACTTCATTTCTCTAATTCTCAGGTGAGGTATCTCCAGGTTCCCTGAGATGTTTGGGCCTCCACTCAAGACTTGCTATTATTTTTCAGATATGGTGACTATCCCAAGCTTCCAGACCACTCTCAGCATGAACGAGACCCATGGTATGATTGGGACCATTCAGAACTGAGGCTGAATTGGGGTGAACCGGTGAGAAAATGATACCCCTCCTTTTCTCTTTAAATAGTACAGTCATTCACAGGGTTCCCCATGATATTTAAAGCATCCTTATTCCCATGCTTGGTGAATCTTTCTTTGAACCCAGGTGGCAACCTAATCCAGTAATGGAGAAGCAGTGTATCTAGTGAGCTGTAAGCTTTTCTGCTTCCCAAGGAACTGGGTACCCCCAAGGCAATACATGGGTCAAATGTCTGGGGATCCCCAAAACTTTGTAACATTAGTGATTGAGCTGCCCTCCCTAAGTAGCAGACCGTCAGAGATGCTAACCCCACCCCCTAGTTTCCCCTTGGCACCTCTCCTACCACCCCTAATTCTTGGATTGTCATTGTCATTTGAGAAAGGTACAGTCTCTAAGAACGTAGCCATCTGGAGTGCTAGACCCTCTGCCAGGAAGTTTCTTCAGAGGTATTCTATGCTGCCTGCCTGTTGTTCAACTAACAACCTAGTACACTGATCTATGTATTTGTTTAGATGCACTTTGACTTTGATATGTACACTCGGAATCGTGTGGATACGTCCCCCACACCTGTCTCCTGGAACACTATGTGTAAGCATTTCTTTGGCTTCTTCGGCTTCATGATGTTCATGTTCTGGTTAGGAGAGGTGTTCCCCTCCTATCGGCCTGTGGTGAGTATCTAGGGCAGATATTCTTAACTTGGGGTCCACAGAAAAATTTCAGTGGGATCTGTGAACTTGGATGGGAAAAGAATTATATATCTTTATTTCAGCTAAATTTTTAATTGAAATTTAACCTTTCCTTCAGTTATTTAAAAACATTACTCTGAGAAGGGGTCTTTGGGCTTCACCAGATTGCCAAAGGGGTGGGGTCTGTGACACATAAAAGGATTAGACCCCCTGATCTAAGAGAAACATCTTTTCACTGCATGATGCTCAGCTTTGTTTCCTATGGAAATGAAGCATCTGAAACACAAGAATCCAGCTTTGATCTGAAGGGGTGCCACCAATGGCTTTTTTGAGGATTCTCTGCCCAAGATGCTGAATAGCAGCGACAGGATGATATGTTGGCTTCTTGACCTTCAGTCAATTCAGCAAGCTGAATTCAACAATTCTGTTATGTATGTATCAGCACTGTGATCAGTGCTGGGGATACAAATTTTAAAATTAAACAGTCTTTGTCCTCTAGATGCTTACATTCTGTTAAGGGAAAACAACATGTTTTCTCTCAGGAAAGGTAAGTAAATAGTAACTGATTTTTCCCCCAGGGCACTAATACCTGGAGGAATCAGGACAGAGAGATAGGGGTGTCAGGAGAGTGAGCATTTCAGATATTGAGGAGTGGAGATGAGGGACATCCTATGCAAAGGCAGAGATGGGAGAAAGAATGGAATGTATAGGGAACCACCTGCCAGTTGGACAGTTAGCCTGGAACTTAAAACATTTGAGGGAGAATGAAAAAAGTGAAAAAATAGGTGGAAGCCACATCATGAAGAGCATGAAATGCTAAACAGAGGAGTTAGTATTTTATCCTAGGAGCTCTCTAGAACTAGCAGGGAAGTGACAAGGTCAGAACTGCACTTTTAGGGATATAAATCTGTCAGCTGTTCTCCCAGTCGCTATAGAAATTAGAAAGGGAGCTAGTTTGCCCCAAATTGTGATTGCCCTGGATGGTATGAAGCCATTATTGTGACTAGACAAGGGTTGAGAAGGCAAAGATATACATAGTCTTCAGAGACTGAAATATGTAGTGACTCCCAGTTGCTGGTTGCCTCTCTGAAAGGACCCTTCTACTCACGAGGCATTTATCAAGGGACTATAATGTGCCAGGCATTTGGGATTCAAAGACAAAAGTGGAAATGGCCCGTATCTTCAGGAAACTTATATTCTACTCATCTTTAGTAGGGGACCACATGGACCGTATGTTGTATTTGATGAGCAATTAAATTCATACATAGATTCTAGATACTATAAAGTAGAAAATTGCTTCTACCCATAAGTAATTTATAGCTAGATTGGGAAGACTGTGTACCTGAAAAAGCTAGAAGAGATCTCTTCGGTAAGAAAGAAGGAAGTGTCTGGTGATTTAGCAGAGGATTGTGCATCATTTGGGCATCTGTTGTTAGGAAATGGCACCCAAACTGGGCCTTGAAGGAAGTATGGGATTTGGATCGGAGGTAGAGGGACGAGGTAAGGGAGGCCATGAAGACAGAATGTGCAGGGGACACTGAGAAAAATGGATGAAGTGGAGGGCATGCGTTGAAGAATCTGGTGAGGCCAGTGGATAAAGAGCGTTAAATGCTAGGCATATCTTGTAGGCAGTGACAAGCTCTGTAAGTTTTGGGGCTAGTGAGTTACATGATGAAAGTGGTGTTTTAAGAAGATTAATCTGACAGCCTGTGCAGAATGGATTGGAAGAGGCAGGAGACCTATAGTTGTTGCAGTCAGATGCCCCGTGCTACCTCTGCAGAGATAATCCATGTCTCCATGGTAGCTGGTGTGTGCACTGACCTTGATCTTGAGCCCCAGGGGCTCCTGGCTGGAGTGTGTGTACAGGGCTGATGTGAGCACTAACTTCACTTCAGGAAACCAGGAAGCACAGTGTAGCTTTTGCATTTTTCAGTTCTGTAAGCACATCACCCTTTTCTCCTCCCCTTGAGCTGCACACTCTGACAGCTGGTTGTTGGTAAAGCCAGCAGCCCCTAAAGCACGTCCCAGTCGTGGCTCCTCTGTGCTTCCCCCACTGCTGCTTCTGCACGCCTCATTTGCTAGGCCACTTTAGCAGGGGAACCATTAGAGGCTGAGTGACTTAAAGGAGATTGAGTCTGCCTCGACCGGAGAGAGAGTGGGATGGATGGATGCGCCGTCTCATTTAGAAAGCTTTTATTCTCTTACAATCAGTGCAAGCAGCACTTCGTTTACAATCTAGGCTTTTTCTCTGCCTTGGGCTCAGCACGAAAGAAGGATGTTTCTCCTACCATTTCAGCTCAGCTGGGTCTGATGGGGCGGGTGCTGTTTGCTGGATGTTCGTGTTGGGTAGGGTCACTGCAGATGGGGCATTTACCTGCTTTTTCTGATATGCTTCCTTTCTCAGGCTCCAAAGCAATATCCTTATAACAACCTGTACCTGGAGCGAGGAGGTGATCCCAACGTAGAGCCAGAGCCTGTGATACACTATGAAATCTGAAGGACCTAGCCTGCAGGGCCACTGACTTTGTCCTGTGCAAGCCTACTCGATCAGGAAGATTTAACCTTAATGAAATACCTAATGAAACTCAGTGGCCTGCTGTCTGTGCCTCATTTCTCTTAACACAGAATGTCCCTGCTCCTGAGCCAAGCCTAGTCTAGCCTCCTGCCTCTTGCATGGGCCTCTCTGCCCTGCGGCTTCCTGCCTATATCTGGGATCATCCTAGAGCTCAGGTCCTGTTCTTACTGAACATTGTATTTGACCCTTGAGGCAGAATGATTTAGTCCACAAGTATTTAGTGAGCACAAGCCCTTTGTGCCTGGCAGGACAGTGAGAAACAACAGATGACTAAAGCCTAAGGCTCTTAGTACACACTCTGACCATTCATTTCACTGATTTTTCTGGATGTTCCCCAAAGCCTTCGACTGATCATTTCATACAAATCAACAAGCCATCCATTCCAATTCCTGATGGCCATTATCTACTGCCCTGCTCCCCTCCCTAGGTCTACCACCACCCCTCTTTCCTTTCTTAAGGAGTTCAGAACCTGGCTTTTAGTCCTTCCTCATCACACCAACTACCATTATTCTAGGGGACTTTAGCATCTATGTTGATGTTCTGTCATGTACCTTAATTTCCTAGTTCCTCATCACCTATGATCCATTCCTTTACCCCAAAACACTGATACACTCAAGATGGTTATACCCTTGATCTCACCCTGGCTCATGAGTATCCCATTTCCATGCCCATTAACTCTGAAGTTCTTTTATCCAGTCATAACCTACCATGCCATCTTTCTCTGTGCTTTAATTTTACATCTATTCTTTGTCTTCCCTACCACTTCTAATCTCTTGGTCCTTCAGTACTTCTCAAGCCATCACCTCTGCTCTGACTTCCCTTTTCTCCCTTTCCTCTCAATCTTGATCCTGTAGTTAGCCAGTTAAACTCTACATTGCCCTCTACTTCAGAATCCCTTTCCACCTTGTCCTAACCCCAACCCTATGTTATTCCCACCACCAACTTCCACTCCTTACAAGCTACTAAACAGAACTGGAGACCATACTGAAGAAGTCATATTCACTAGGTCCATTACAAACTTAGGTTATTTGATCTTAACTGTATCCTTGTTGGCAGCAAGTAAATCTTTTTCCTCTTTCCTAATTGATGATCCTACTTTACACCAAAGGTTGCTCTAAGCCTCCTGTGACAACCTTTCTGTTTCACAGTCCTTTGGCATCCTTTACTCTCTCATTCACTCCAGGTTCTGAATGAAGTCGTTCTTCTTGCCAAAGCCAGCTTCTACATATACCTTTGACATGCTCTTCCATTCTATCCCAAAGCTTGCCCCTACAATCATCCTCCTCTTTAATCTTTAATCTCACTCCTTTGCTGCCTCCAAATCTGCTCACGCCTTTCTCCTTTGGGGGAAAAGAAAACAAAAACAGAATACCCTCCCATCCCCTCAAGCTGTCATCCTATATTTCTCCTCCGTTTAATAAACTTCTAGAGAAAACTATTCATTGTTTCTCCTTTCTCTCACTTTGCAACTCTTTGCAGTTTAGTGTGCAGCCTGTCTGGTGGACCAAAACTACTCTTTCCAGAGTTACCAATGATCACTTAATTGCCAAAGTAATTTTCTTTTCTCAATCATCCTTGATTGCTTCTGCAGCATTTGACACTGTTGATTATCTAGGTAGTTTCTTCTCTAGATTTTTGTGACTCTTCTCTTTTGGTTCTCTTCCTAGATACTTAACTCAAGTCTCCTTTGCTAGTTTGTCATACATATCATGCTGCCTATCTAGATGTATCCCAAGAGTCTGTCCTGCAGCCTTCTCTGCACTCTTTGCTTGGTGACTTTATCGACTCCCTGCCTTCTGTTATCACTGTGCAAGTGACTCCCACATCTACATATCCAGTCTTAGTCTCTCTTGATCTGGAGTCCAGATTATTAACTGCCTCTGAGGATGTTTTAAACTGGATGTTCCATAGGTGTCTCAAAACTCAGCATGTTCAAAATTGAACCTACCGTTTTGTTTTGTTTTTTCAAGCTAGCTCACTGCTCTTCCTAATTTACCTACATTTTTGTCCAGGGTACCACCATCCTTCCAGTCACCCAGCCTCCCCACTTTTGTGTCATCCACGCACAGTGCCTGGCACATAGAGCCACTAAGTAAATGTTTGTTGAATTGAATCTTCAAATCCATTTTCTCCCTCACCCTGTATAGTCAGCTTCCACACACATCATGGTTTTTTTCCTCTAGAACCTCTTTCATCCATAACACTTTCCTTTGCTCACATTGTCACCATTCTAGTTCAGGCCCTCATCATCAAAGCCCCAAACAATTGCCTTGCCTCCAATTTGCCCCACTCCAATCCACCCATTAAAGAGCAGACTAATATCACTTTCTTGAATCAGTTCACTCCAGTGGCTCTCCATTGAGCCCAGATCCAATAGATTGTTGTTTGAAGCCCTTGACCATCTGGCCTAATCTATTTTTCCAACCTTGTTACATATCACTCTCTCTCCAGCACTCTGTGATCCAGAAAAACAACTTTTTGGCCTTCCTTACACAAGGTTCTCTAACTTCCATTTCTTTGCCTTTGCAGTGGCTATCCAGCTGATAACCAGCTGGAATATGCTTCCTCCATACCTACACCTCCTAGAATCCCTCGTTTCCTTGGTTTGGGGAGAGGGGGTATTAAGTGGTAGGCTGAAAAATTTCTGTTTGCACAGTCAAGTCAGGGAGCACTAAGTACCTAGTTTGTGCCAGATAAGTGTGCTCAGATGACACAGCGATAGTGAATCTCATTCACTAAGGGTGATGTTGCCCTTTACCAAAGTATAAGGAAGTCATTTATAGAAGAATATGAGTTCAATTTTAAACCTAACAGCTGCTAGTGCCTTCCCTCCAAAAAAAAAAATTACTTTTCATTTAAAAAAAATTGTGCATAGACACACATTTCCCCTATAAAATGTCAGCCCCTCGATGGAAAGAATTCTTAGGTTTTAGTCTTTCCCTGCACCTGGTATATTATGGGAATTTAATGAAATTGGTATATTACAGGTTTTGGTGATTGATTGCTAAAACCGCTTTGTTCGAAGGATAAAGATAAAAATAAAACAATCCATGCCTTCAAGGAATTTATTACATCTGCCAAAAGTATACAATATGTACCCAAAAAAAGTGAATACAAAGTAATCTCATGAGAGAAAGTACTGAGCATTGGGGTCCAGAAAGGCCTTTGGGAAGTGGCACCTGGCCTGTGCTTGGAAGGAAGCTGGGAATTATGAGGTAGAATTGAGGAAGATGTGCATTCCAGACATTGGGGACCACTTGTGCACACAAAGGTGGGAAGATGGAGCATGGTGTAGCTACTGGGGCAGTTTGGAACAGGAATCATGTGAGCGTAATGCAAAATGACCCTGGAAAGGCAGCCAGATTGGGGTGTGCAAATGGGGTGTTGAGTAGGTTGAAAAATTTCGGGGATTTTTCAGTCCAGTAGGGCTGGGCCTTAGCTTGTGAGCATATTGTGGCTTGGCTCTATGTCCCTTTCCTCCTGCCTCCCTCAATATTAAGAGCAATTTATGATGAAGATGTGTATTGCTTACCCTTTCAAACAAAACCTTTTTGATCACATGGGCCTCCTTTTTACTAGTGATAACTGACTTTTGTTAACTAGACCTGGAGTAGTCAAATCAGCTTTCCGTCCCTGCTCCTCTATGGAACATCTCCTGACTGTCACTCATTCAACCCCATGGCTTTATCTCTGTGTAAATGACTCAAATCTCTATCTCCAGGTTTCCATGAAATGGAACTTTCTAATGAGAATTATTCCGACATTGGAAAGGAGCTGCCTACTGGACGTTTCCACTCGGATGCCACCTCAAACTCAATACATCAAAAAATGTACACCCACTAACCGACCCAGAATCCCAACAGCAGCTTGTTCCTCCCCCGGTCCCCAAACCCCGATCCAGCCAGTCCCAGACCCCAGCTGATTCCGCCTTCCTGCTGTCGTCTCCCCTTCTCGGCGCCCCTGGACGCCCCAGCTCAGGAACCTCCACCAGCTGCCCGCTGCCTGCAAGCTCGGACATTCAAAGACCATGCTCCGCGTGTTCCCTAGCACCGTTTGCCCGGTCAGCAGAATGAGCCCATCCTAACCCCGGGGCCTTGGCCAGGCCTCGCCCCCTAATCACCAGCCACGCTCCTTCTCCCCGCTTTCTCGCCCAGGTTTCATCTGCCTCTCTTTCCCGCACGAGGGAATGCGGGTGCTCCCAGCCAGAAAGCAAAGCCCCAGTCCGTGGACGAGTGCCCCTCTCAGGAATTCCGAGGCGGCCCAAGCTCAACTCTGCACACACCGAGGTGGCATCTGCTTCTGCGAGGGAAATCACGGAAGAGGGAGGGAAGGCTCAGGTCTGGGCACGGAAGGGTTAAAGGCGCTCGAGCCTGGGTTCTCTACGCATGCGCGCAGGGCAGGTCCGGCTCTTCGCTCTGGGAATGTTTTTGGCTCCCAGCGGCTTCCATCGTTCGGGCCCTGCTGACCCCCGAAGGAAACTGAGGTGGTCGAGCGGATTGTCCGCACTTGACCTCTGACTCAGTTCCGCCACTACTTGACCTATGACCCGGTACTGTCGGGCACAGGTGGGTTTAGGGGCTGAGGGCCCCTGAGTCTATCCTCCAGCCTTCCCTCCCGTTCCCGGCCCTGCCCTCTCCTGGTGCTGTCCAGCTACGGCCCTGTCCAGCTCCGGCCCTGAGCACCCTCCCAACAGCCTTCTTACCCCTACCCCTACCCCCAGTCCAGTCCCGGCTCTTAGCACACACACCCCCACCTAAGGATCCCTCTCAGCCCCGCCCAAAGGAACCTCCCCGCCCCCTGTGCTGTCCAGCCTCGGCCCTGAGCACCCCTCTCTGCCACCCTGAGCCCCCGGGATCCCCCCCACATCCTGTCTTTAGCCCCTCAGCATCACCCCCAGCCTCCCCTCCTTTACTGTCCAGCCTCAGACCTGACCGTCCCCATTACCCTGAGTGACTCAGCCAAGGGATTCCCCGACCCGTCCTGTTTTGTCCTGCCCCAGCTAGGAGCAGACACTCCAGCTCCTTTTCACCATGAGATTCCCCCACCCAAGAAGACTTACCTGTCCTCCTATCTAGCTCCTGCTCTGAGCACTGCCTCCCTTCTTGTTGCCCTGAAGGTCGCCCTTAGTCCTGTCCCATCCCCAGCCCCTCTGGACGCTGCCTGACTCTTCTGTCCCATCCCCCATCTCTACCTTCTGTCCTGAAAGCCTTGGTTCCTGTAGCCTGGATTTTGCTCAAGATGTGCCTTGCTGTGGCCCTCTGAGAGGGAGCGGGAGTTCCCTGGGGGCTACTGGGCCAGGACGAGAGCTGTGGCTCTCAGGGTAACTCAGCAATGCAGACTAAGCCACACCCGCAGGTTTAGGAACCGTTACTGCATCATCATCATCCTGCTTTTCCTAGACTGAAATCCCCACTGAGTGTGGTATAGGAAGCGAATGTCCTCAGGTGCATTTCAGGTGTGCTCCCCAGTTCCTCCTGTATGGGTTCTCAGGAATCTTGAACAGTCTTTGTTATTCATCCTGTACAGGACATAGCATGAAGCTGAAGGAGCTTGAGAGGCCTGCCGTCCAGGTGTGGAGTCCAGCCAGCCAGCATCCCATCTATCTGGCAACAGGTGATTTCCTCAGGAACAGGTAGCTGGGTGTTTGTTTGTTTTTTAAGGATTCCTAGCATCTCAAACTTTTAGACTCTTTATTGATGAATTGCACTGAATTGTAACCCTTTTCAGTAATGTAAGTTCCTTTTTCTTCCCTTCCAGTTATGTCAGAGTGTGTTGTGCTGTGTAGTCTTAACTTTTTGGGAATTTACCCTCAGTTCACTTTTAATTTATTTATTTATTTTGCTTTTTTTGGTGAGGCAGTGGGATTAAGTGACTTGCCCACGGTCACACAGCTAGTGAGCGTTAAGTGTCTGAGGCTGAATTTGAACCCAGATCCTCCTGGCTCCAAGGCCGGAACTGTATTCAGTGTGTTACTTAGCTGCCCCCCTTCAGTTCTTAATCTTTCCTTACTTTCTTCTACTTCTCCCTGTGTTTGGTGCCTAGGAACATCTGCCCAGCAGCTGGATGCATCCTTCAGCACAAATGCTACCTTGGAAATCTTTGAGGTTGACTTCAGGGACCCTTCCCTGGACTTGAAGCGCAAAGGAGTCCTTTCTGCTTCTAACAGGTATTCTACCAGGTGGTTGTCATGTTGACAGAGTACTTATGGGAAAAAAAGAAGGCACTAAGCTGAGATTCTGAGAAATATTTGCCCTGGCAGCTTGCTTAGAGTAGAGATAGACCAATAAAGTTTGTGTCCCTGTGTTCCTGGTCTCCACTAGGGCCTGAAATCATTGAATCTCTTAACTCTAAGCCTTACAGAAATAATTCCCCTATACAATACCTTCCTTTAACATTTTTCTGTCCTGCCAACTCATTTCCTAGTAGATAACAGTGTCATTCCCTCTTGTTTCTGTTGGATACTGATTGGGGCATCCACAGGTTTTCTCATTCTTAATTGGACTCTGAAATGAGGTGTTTTGTTTTGCTTTTCAAGTGATATATATGCCCCAAGGAACGAAGAGTCTAAAGCAGGACTTCCTGTCAAAATGTTTTTAGAGCTTTTAAAAATAAATCCTCATGGCATATGAAAGTAGATAGCAAACCACTTGCATTTATATGGTGTTTTAAGATTTAGAAGACACTTTCGATTAGTGATTACTATGCCTCAGGTAAACCTCATTGCCTTGCTATTGCTTCTGCACAAAGCTTACAAAGCATTTTCTCCTAAATCTGATGAGGTGGCTATCACAAGCCTCATTATCCATTCCTTGGCTGAGGAAATTGGGGGAAGAGGGAAGACAGCAACAGAAAGGGCAATAGGTTTGTGATCAGAAGACCTGGGTTAAAATTCTAATTCTACTACTTACAACTTATATTACCTTGGGTGATCATTTCCCCTTACTGAGCCTTAGTTTCCTCATGTAAAATGCAGAGATTAAATTAGATGATCTCCAAGATCTCTTCCAGCTCTGAATCCTGTGATCCACTGACTTTTCCAGTTATCATTCAGCCTTTAAGGAGGCAGAGCTGGGATTCAGAATCAGGTGCTTCTGACTTCAGCTCCATTTTTCTGTCCAGTACACCTAATAAACCAGAGCAACATAGACAAGCACTTAGACTGAATTGACATGGTAGCCCAGCGATGATTGAAAAGCCCTTCAGTGCTTTTTGTCCATAGCTCTCATGGAGTACTTAAATTGAGCTGCTTCACACCATCTATGTACCCCTATATTTGCATCCCATAGACTTGCTTAAAGACCTGAAGAGCTATTTATTTTGTAGCCAACAAAGAAGGATTCTTTACAAAATGTGGGTGAAGGAACTTTTTCTACTGCCTCTGGGATACTCTGTTTTATTTGAGGGGACTATTCTTCAGTCCAGTCAGTAATACTTCCTCTCCCTTTTTCTTCTAAATTATATTCTGGGTTCCTCTATCTGAGGGCACTAAGGAGTCACCCTTGATGTGACCCTGTCAGAGATCCTCTCTGAAGAAACAACCTAAGTGAGCAGAACTTACCCCTCACCCTAAACACACACAAACACACACACACACACACACACACACGCACACGCGAACACACGCACACACACGTACATACATTTGCCTCTGCTGACCCTTTCCTCATCTTCGTTGCTGGCTCCCAGTGGTCTTTCCAGACTTACTTCCCTTCACAAACAGTGTGGGTTCCAGCCCAATCAGCTTTCTTAGTGTTCTTCAAACTCAGTGATCTATCATCTCCTTTATCTGTGCCTTGGAACAGGCTCTTCCTCATACCTGGGTTGTACTCCTTTGCCTCTACTTATTAGACTCCTTAACTTACTTCAAGGATTAGCTCAGCTTCTGCCTTTCCTGATCATCTATCGCTCCCCCTCCTCCTCTCTCCTATTGCTTTCTACTCTTAATGCTTTCCCCTTTCTCAAATTATCTATCCTTGTATTTACTTATCTGGGGTGTCCCTCCAGGAGGATATAAGCTCCTTAAGGACAGCCTGAGGGGACAGCTAGATGGCGCAATGGATAGAGCACTGTCCCTAGAGTCAGGAGGACTTGAGTTCAAATCCAGCCTCGAACACTTACTAGCTGTGTGACCCTGGACAAGTCACTTAACCCCGAATTGCCTCAAAAAAAAAAAGACTGGTTTTTTAAAAATTTTTGTTATCAGAGCCTAGCACAGTACTTAGCACATAAGTAGATGCTTAATAAATGTTGGACTTGCATTAAAATAATAGATCTAGAGCTCAGATTTACCTCAGAAATCATCTAGTCAAACAGACAGTCAAAGAGGATGTTAAGCACTTACTACATGCTAGGCAGTGTTCTAAGTACTGGAGATACAAAGAAAGGCAAAAAGATTGTACCTACTTTCAGGGAGTTTACATTCTAATGATGGAGACAACATATAAAAACTAGGTACATAGAAGATAAATACAGAGTAGATAGAAGGTAATAGGGGAAGGAACTAGCAGGTGGGGGTGGGGTGGGGCAGAAAGGCCTCCTGTAGAAAGTGAGATTAGAGCTAAGTCTTGAACAAAACAAGAGGACCACGAAATGGAGGTGAGGGCATAGAACATCGAAGGCATGGGGAACAGCCAGGCATGGAGTTAAAGGCTTGTTTGAGGAACTGCAAGTAATCTAATGTCCCTGGACCGCAGAGTGTGTGAGATTGAAATGTTAGGAGGTTAGAAAGGTAGGGAGGAACCAGGTTATGAGGTTTAAAATGCCAAATGAAGATTTTATATTTGATCCTAGAGGTAACAGGGAGCCACTGGGGTTCATTGAGTAGGAGGTACAATGAAGAGTGAAATTGTCATGCTTTAGAAAAATCACCTTTGCAGCTAACTGAATGAGGTTCAACTAGAATGGGGAAATATTTGAGACAGGGGGACCAATCACTGCGGTAAGCCAGGCATGAGATGATGAGGGCCTGACCTGGGGTTGTAGCTAAGTGAGTGGAGAAAAGGAGATGAATATGAGAGACATAGTAAAGATAAAAATGACAAGATTTGGCAGTGGACTGGATACATTGGATATGTGTAAATTAATTGTTGAGGATGACACATTGAGTGTGAACCTGGTTGGGAAGATGATGATATCCTTGACAGTAATAGGTGAGTTCAGAAGAAGGGATATTGGGAGGTGAAGATAATGAGTTCTGTTTTGGGCATACCAAGTTCGAGATGCCAGCGTGACGTTCAATTAAAGATGTCCAAAAAGCAGTTAATGATATGTGACTAGCTCAAGAGAGACCAAAGACAAATATAAAAATCTGGGTATCATCTGCATAGAGACGATGATTGAATTCATGGGAACTGATCAGATTGTCAAGGGAGATAGTATAGAACAAAAAGAGAAGGAAGGCCTAAGAGAGAGTCTTGGTTAGAGGGTATGCCTTGAATGACGAGCCAGTGGAGAAGACTGAGAATGAGGGGTTAGGCAGATAAGAGGAGGAAAACCAGAGAAGGGAGGGAGAGGGAAAGAGAGAGAGAGAATGTCAGAAAAACTTGACCATCTAATTTCCCTTCTATAGAAAGTTTTTATAAGAATGCATCAAGGGCATCCTCAATGAGAATATTCATATGAAACCAGTCAATCTTTTTGCAAGTGGTATCTTTACCACCACACAACTGATTGAAAAATGTAGAGAATGCAAGATCCCACTGTGCATATTGTCTGTTGATTATTTTTTAAAGTATTTGATTTAGTCAAATAAAATGCTACCTTCAAGACTCTCTTCAAACAAAATGTCTCCTGTCCATCCATTAGAATTATTCAAGGTTCCTTGAAAGGTCGTGCAATAGAGGGATAACCTTGTTCTATAACCCTCGGATCACAAATATCAAGTGAGACTTACGTCTCAAGGAGACATAGGAGACTTGCCACAGGTGTTTGCCACTATCATGGGGAAGGAAAGGAAAGGGAATAAGCATTTATTTATATAGTACTTCTTATGTTCCTGGCACTGTGCTAAGTGCTTTACAAAGATTATCTCATTTGATCCTCACCACAACCCTGGGAAGTAAGTGCTTGTTGTTATTATCCCCATTTTACAGTTGAGGAAACTGAGGCAAACAGGTTATGTGATTTGTGCAGGGTCACACAGCTAGGAAGTGTCTGAGGTGATCCAGTACAGTCTTGAGTTGAAGAAGGATTCAGTGAGCTCCTATATATGTTGCTTTGTTGATTGTCTAGACTTTAAAATATTGCAGAAAACATTAATAATACAGATTAAATTTTTTTTTTTTGGGTAAGGCAATTGGGGTTAAGTGACTTGCCCCGAGTCACACAGCTAGTAAGTGTTATGTGTCTGAGTCCAAATTTGAACTCAGGTCCTCCTGACTCCAGGGCTGGTGCTCTATCTACTGCGCCACCTAGTTGCCCCTAGATTAAACTTAAAAGTGTAATGTGTGTACATTTTTTTCTCAGAGAACTGGTTGTTAAATATTTGCCAGCACACTAAATCAAAACATGGCCCATAGGGATCCTTATATAAGTGGTTTAGAGGCCTCATTTCTATTCGAGTTTTACACCACTGTTGTAGGGCTTCCTGGAAGAGATCTGTAACCACTCAAGCGTCTGCTCTAACCATGTACATAGGAAAAACCAAGTGGATGAAGAATGTCTACTGCCTAGATTATGACATGCAGTTAGGTTTATAGCCTATAGAGCTTGTCCATCTGGAACAGACAGTGCAAATGGATGATGAATTGGACCCAGAATTAAACAGGAGGAGGAGGAGAATAGCCTCAATTGCTTGGCACATAATAGGCACTTAATAAGTTTTTGTTGGCTGATTGATTGATTGTCTTCAGGAAATCGCAGAGCTCCTTTAATGACTTCATATTTCTCCCAGAAATAAAGGTCTATCTTTTTTAACGTCTATATTCTTCTAAATGACTTTAGAACCCTATATAGTCTCTGAAGAATTCAAAATGAGTATCACACAGAGGACACTGGAAAAGGCACATAGTGAATATGAGCAGATTGTTACATATAACAAATAAGAAATTTGAAGCTGAATTTATGAGAGGACACTCAGTAAGGAGGGTCTCTTTTTTCTCCCCTGTGATCCATGCTGAGGGCACTGCAGTCCCTAAGACTAACAGTCATTTAGAATTGTGGTTAGTGGCTGTTTAGTGTCTCATATAAGCCCTTTGAGGGCAAGGCCTGATGCACCTTTTAAAAATTTGTATTCTTAGTTCCTAGCTGCCTGGCATATAATATATACTAAATAAGTAAAAAACAGAATTTTGCCTTAACATAATCCCTTTTCCTGATAAGCTGAGTTCAGTTCTGTGTTTCCTTCCCAGTGATCCTTGATTGAACAGGTTCTTTCATTATTTCCAACTTTTCACTGTAGTTAGCCTCCATGCTGATTTCTTGTGTGGTAGCTGGGTTCTGCTCTCATCCTTGGTTTGAAATCCAGCGTCACATAGCTCATTCGTGTGCCTGATGAAGCCTCCTTAAAAGGCTTCTGTGATTCAGCAAGGGCTTCCTGGGGCTAAGGCCTCTGGGCCTCTCTCATCTTGATTGGGAGAACTATACCCTGCTGGTTCCTTGTGAAGCTTAGGTACAATTTAATTCAATTCAGTGAACATTTATTAAGTGTCTGTTAAATGCAGGATACTGTGGTAGGTGTTAAGATTACAAAAATGAAAACAAAACATTCCTGTCAAGGAGGATACTTCCTAGTAAAGGGCTATGGCAAATATACAAGTAAATCAGTAAAATGTCTATACAACATAATAGAAACAAATTTCAAAGGGGAGAGAATGCTAATAACTGAGGGGATCAGGGAAAACTTTGTTGTCAGTGTTAGGGCTTAAGTTGTGCTTTGAAGGTCTCTGTGAGGTAGAGATGAGGAGGGGGTGCATTCCTTTTTTGAAGGACTGTGTGTATACAGATGTGAAGGTGAGAGATGGAATGTATGTGTGGGAACAAGGAGGCCAGTTTGTTCAAAATAGCCAGTGTATTATGAGATAAACAGGAAAGGTTGGGGGAGTCCACTTGTGAAGGGCTAAAGGCCAGCTGGCTGTTTTGTGTGGCAATGGAGAACTCTTGAAGGTTTTTTTTTGATTAGAATAATATTTTAGGAATATCCCAGGTCTGACCATTTTTGATTGTCTGAACTCTGTTGTGACCAGCCCCTGATCGTAGACATGGTGTCTCGGCACCATCTGGAGTCATTTGGTTTGGTTTCTGCTTCCTAGGAGCCATTCCCTGTAGCTCTCTTCTTCTTGGAAACTTGAAAATATAAATGGCATGATGGGTCAGACATGGACCCAACCTTTTCTATTTGTGGGAGAGTGGTATCATTCTCTGGGTCATAGAACTCAGAAGGGATGAGACATATTCCAGACAATATCACTGTTTTTTAATGACTTAGGACTGACTTTGTTTTTATGTAGTATTTTATTACTTTTCCCATTTACATGTAAAGATAATTCTTCATTCTCTCTCTCTTTTTTTTTTTTTTGGCTAGGCAATGGGGTTAAATGACTTGCCCAGGGTCACACAGCTAGTGAGTGTTATGTGTCTGAGACCGGATTTGAACTCAGGTCCTCCTGAATCCAGGGCCGGCACTCTATCCACTGCACCACCTGGCTGCCCCTAAAGATTCACTATGTACCTTTTCCAATGTCCTCTGTGTGATACTCATTTTGAATTCTTCAGAGACTATTTAGGGTTCTAAAGTCATTCAGAAGAATATAGACATTAAAAAAGATAGACCTTTATTTCTGGGAGAAATATGAAGTCATTAAAGGATTAAAAATTAAAATCATTTTTTAAAAATGTTGAGTTCAGGACTTATTTTTGCTCCATGAATTTCCCTAAACACTATCGTGCTAGTTCAAATCCAGCCTCAGACATATAACACTCCCTAGCTGTGTGACCCTGGGCAAGTCACTTAACCCTGATTGCCTCACCTTCCCCCAAAAAATTGCCTGTAAGAAAAGAAAAACCTTCTCTTGGGATACTTGAATGCCTTTAGATCATGAATCTCATTAACGTGAGGACTCCCTCAGTAGTATGGGTAGCAGCCCATCTCGGCCTCATTTATATAATCTTTCACCGTGCTCCCTCTTTAATCCTTCATAGGGGTCCCATGCAGTGTGTTAGGGGACTTCCTCTAGATCTCATCCGGAGCGTGAAGGTCGATGTTCCCAGCTGCTCCTTTCTTCCTCCTCAAGATTATCTTGTATCTGTTTTATATTCGTTTTGTGTATACCTATACACACATGTTGTCTCTCCTAAATGAATATAACCTACTTGAAAGCAGGGATTGTTTCACTTTTGTCGTATCTCCAGTGCCTAACATAGAGCCTCTCATACAATAGATACTTGATAAATGCTTGTTGATTAATTAATAAAAGTACTGTTCTGTAGTTTTAGAGAGTGGCCAGGTTAAGTGAAGGCTTCTTAAGAATGAGAAAACCATGTTTATAGACAGCTAGGAAGGAGCCAGTAGATAAGGAAGGCCTGTAGGTGAATCTTCTGAATCCTTAACTGTTACCAATTGGTGCTTAATCTAACCCAAGTCTTACTTCCAGATATGGAATAGAAGTGAATGGAATAGTTTATTAGACCTGAAAAGGACCTTAAAGGCAATCTATGTAGTCTAGGCCCCTCATTTTATAGATATAAAACCTGAAGCCCTCAGAAGTGAAATATTTTTCTTAGGGTCACACAATGAATGAAGTATTGGCAGAGCTGGAAATAGAACCCACACCTCATTACGGCATGCTGCCTGGTGTTTGCAATGATCTTTAGAAAATGGGAGCATGCACTGGGGTGTCTTACTACAGAGGGCTGGCCATTCTTTTTTCCTTGTACAGGTTTTGGGAGCCAGGGTTCTTTTCAGAATATGCTGTATGTTGTCATGTGGCTCTGTCGTTGAGGCTTTTGCAGAAAAAGCTATAGGGGTTGGGTTTTGGGGGCACACAGCACAGGGCAGAGGTTTTGGACAAATGTAGCAGCTTCTCTCCTGTAGATGGGACCTTCCTTTGACCGGAGGAGTATTTTCACACAGACTGGGATTTGCTCCTGGGTCCCAGGATACCAGGAAGAGCTCTGATTTTGGATCCAGAGGACCAGGGTTTGAAGCTCAGCACTGATACTTCTAGGTTCATTAGACTGAGAGTTAGAAGGGACCCTAAAGATCATCTAGTCCAGTGCCCTCCTTTTTACAGATGAGAAAACTGAAGCCCCTAGGGTTAAAGTGACTCGCCCAGGGTCACATAGCTAGTGTTTACCTGTGTGTCCCTGAGACAGTCAGGTAATCTCTCAGGATTCAGTTTCTTTATTTATAAAATGTATATAATACTTTTGCAACCTTCCCTTGGTGGGTTATCATGGGGAAAGTGCTTTACAAATTTCAAAGTGCTACATAAATGTAGATGATAATGATGATGAAGATGATGATGATGATGTTGATGATGATGGACTGGGACAGGAAAGGAGAGGAGAACTTGGTTGTCCTTGAAGGGAACTAATTAAAAACATTTGTTATACACTTACTGTGTCCCAGGCAATCTGCTAAGCACTGGAGAAAAGCTAGCATCTTCTTCTGGGCCAGAGGCCATGACCCTCTACTTTCTCCAATGGTAAGAAGGTGGGCTAAGCATCTCTTCAGTGACTGAGAAGGGGCTGACAGTATTGGCAGGACTGGGCAAGGGGTAGAACCACTTCCTGTGAGGAGAGTAGGAGAGTATAAAGATGCCCGTGAATGGTGAAAGATGGATTCTCTCTTCTGGCTTCTACTTCCTGGACCCTGTAGCTTTGAATTTGTGCCAGTATGACCAAGTCCTCTCTTTGTAGGTTTCACAAGCTGATCTGGGGGAACTTTAGCAGTGGATCTCCTGAAGGTTCAGGAGTCATTGCAGGCGGAGGGGACAATGGCGTGCTCACTCTGTACAGTGTCTCCCAAATCCTGACTTCTGGAAAGGAGCCTCTCATTGCTCAGAAGGAGAAGCACACAGGTGCTGTCAGAGCCCTTGACTTTAATCCTTTCCAGGTATGCCTGTAGCCATTTGCTGTTGAAACCCCATTAGGTTATGTCCTCACCTTTCAACTCATCCTCTAGTATCTGACTGAGAAGGTCATTTTCTGCCTGGTGTTCTCAGGCAGGCCTTGGATACCCCTCAGTATAATTACTTTCTATACTGAGGGCCTAGATTTGTCTTTCCTGGGAATGGGGAAGCCACTGTGTTTCTGTTTTTTCATATAGAGCAACCTCTTGGCCTCAGGAGCAAACGATTCTGAAATCTACATTTGGGATTTGAATAATTTCAGTGTGCCAATGACTCCAGGATCCAAGTCCCAGGTGAGGTTGCAGTATGTCCAATATGTAGAAGTGTCCTTGGGGGAAGCTAGGAGCCAGGTTTCTCCTGATTATGCCACTGGGGGGCACTGAGACGCCATAAGCTAAGAAAGCTAATGGTCAGTAAAATGATGGTAGCTGGGGGAGGGGGTGAATCTGCCTGCCACTTGGTATTCCCTAGAAGGCAAGGGAGCCTTCTTTCTTAGGGGCCTTTCTTAACTATCTAGGTAGAGTAGGTAGAGAGCCAGGGAAAGAGTCTGTAGGAGGGAGAAGGATGGGGTTAGGAAGGAAGTCAAAGGTTAGGGGGTTATCTGTCCATCCCAGGACTTTTTTCAAGGGTCCTATGAGATAGGAGGGAGGCAACTAACCCTGCATTAGGTAAGGAGGGAGAATGGATATTCCTGGTATGAGTTTATGGCTTATCTGGAAAGGGGGGAGTTCAGCTTTTCCATTCAGAAGTACACTTTTGCCTGCTTGCCTGTGTCTGTCTGAGTCTGACTGTCAGTCTGTAATTGTTTTCTCTTTGCTTTTCTGTCCCCTCCCTGCCTTGTGCTTACAGTATCGTGAGGTAAGTTGAGTTTGAATTCATCAGCATTGTCAGCCAAGTGTTTTCTAGCTTGAGTTTCTCCTTGAATGTTTCCCACGGTTTTCTCTCTTTCATTCTCTCTGTGGTGTCAAGATTGGCTCTGTGGCCCTTTTCCACCCCTCCCTTTCAGGCATGGTCAGAAGGGCCATAACTACTGAGGAAGCCTTATTGTCTGGGGCCCTTGGCTTTCCCTGACCTATTGTCATTGCAAAGTTAATTAATGGTCAGTGACACATTGAGATGAAGCCAGGATGGCCAAATGGTAAAAGCCTAATATAGCCCCTTCCCAGTAGTAGTTCCCAGAGGGCCTCTCCTAGAAGCCCAGTCTGCTTATCCAGAACAACAGACACCCCTTGGCCTGAGGGGAAGAGTGCCAAGCCCCCCTACAGTTTTGCATCTCTGCCTCAGCAGCCTCCAGAGGATGTTAGTGCACTGTCCTGGAATCAGCAAGTCCAGCACATCCTGTCCTCTGCTCACCCCAGTGGCAAGGCTGTGGTGTGGGACCTCAGGAAGAATGAGCCCATCATCAAGGTCAGCGACCACAGCAACAGGGTGAGTAATGGAGGCCACATGGCCCAAGAGCTTCAGGTCTCCTTCTACCCCCTGAAGGCCGGGTTTCTGTCCCCTTCACTGGCGTCTCTTCTTCCTTAACCTTAAATGTAAAATGGAAGGCCCTTAAGGCTCTGTCCTTGGCCCTTTTCTGTATCTACACTTTTCCCTTAACAATCTCATTGACTCTCATGACTTCAGTTATCATTGGTGAGGAAACTGAGGCAAGGAGAGCTTGAGGGATTTGCCCATAGATAAGGACTGGGCAGATGACTTCTGAGCTTCTCACTTTCTCCTGCTAGATACCCCCTGAACACCTCCTAGCAACTCAAACTCAGCGTGTCTAAAACTAGCTCTTCATCTCAAAAAATCCACCCTTTCCCCTTACTTCTCTGCTTCTGCTGATGTATCTTCCCAATCCCTAAGACTCAAAATTCTGAATAATAATATTGTAATATTTGTTTCCTCTCACCTCCCAAATCCAAATACTTGTCAAGCAAGTCGGTCGGTGAGTATTTATTAAGTGCTTACTCTGTGCCAGGCACTGGGATGCAAAGGTGAAAAAGAAACCTTCGCTGAGGATTATCCCTTCACCTCAGTTCCTGTGTGTCTGCTTCCCTCCACCTCCTGCCAGTCCAGGCCCTCTTCACCTGTTTTTTGCTACTGTTATCATAGTTTCCTAACCAGTCTTCCTTCCTCTAGTCTTCTTCCCTTGCCAAGCTGCCTTCACACACTGCTGCCCATGTAATCTTCCTGCTCTGTTCATATCATTTCTCTACTCAAGAGTTCCTCCCCATTGTTTTTCAAGTAAATTTTGAGTTCTCAGGGCTATCATTCGAGGCCCTCCGCAATCTGACTCCAACCTGCCTTTCCCATCCTGTCACAAGGCACTTCCCAGCCAAGCTGGAGGACTTGATGTCATTCAGTCTCATCCTACCCTCTCCCATCTCCATGCCTTGACACATACTGTTCTCCATATCTGGACCATCCACTTATTCCTTATTAAAATCCCTTCCTCCTTCCAGGCTCAACTTAGGACTCCCCAGAAGCCTTCCCTGCATTCCCCTACTAAAAGGGGTCTCTCCCTTCTCAGATTGATTCTCGCACCATGTCCGACCCTCTCCACACTTCCAGCATTCTGCCCTATAGCAGGCTTCTTTCTGTCCTTCTCCCCTCACCATGACATGTTAAGCTGCTTGGGAGTAGGTTCTGTGTCTTAGTTAATCTTTGTTACTCCTTTGGCACTGCTAGCTTTTCTTTCATTCTCTTTCTGTGTCCTTTATTTACCCCCTGTTCTGCCCCCACTCCCGTAACTACTTCTGCAGCTCTTCTCTGTCTGAGGCCCTTGGCTTCCCCTAACTGATTATTACTGCAGGATTAATTAATTATCAGCGGTGCATTGAGGTGGAACCAGAGTGGCAAAAGCCTAACATACTCCCTTTCTCGTTCCCAGCAGCCCCACAACCCCAAAGGACTCTTCCAGAAGGATGTCTAGTCTTGCTTCCTATGACTCTGCTAGGGACTGCTCTTTTGCATGTTTTAGGCACTTAATAAATATTTGAATTGAATGTCCTGGTTCTTGCTGCCCCCTTTCCACTCTGTATTTCTGCTCTCTCCTCTCCCCATCACACCCTCCTGTTTTATTCACTGGGATTGTGGGCCTGCCAGGATCTTCAGCTTACCTAATGAGATCTCAAAGCTGAATAAGGCTGAGCCAAACACCTGTGCACGGGCATCCCCCGGGTGGCCCACCTCCCTGCCTGATACTCAGCCTGTGCCCTCCTTCAGCATGAGCCAACAAGGCTTTACTGATGCCTAGCATATGGTTGGCACCAGGCATGTCTCTATGGAGGAGACAAAAGAAGCACTTTAGAGAGCTCATAGTCTGTCTGGGGTTAAACAAGGTTCTCACGTGGAATGGTTGGACACAGTGTAAGGTGGGACCTGTTTGGCCCACAGATGCACTGCTCAGGCCTGGCTTGGCATCCAGAAGTGGCTACTCAGCTGGTGCTGTGCTCTGAGGATGATCGCCTCCCAGTGATTCAAATGTGGGATCTACGGTTTGCCTCATCCCCCCTCAAAGTGCTGGACAGCCACAGCAGGTAGTGCCAGACTTTCCATCTTTGTTGTTGGGAGGTGGCTAACCTGGGGTTCTTGGCCCTGGATAAGAGCCCACCTCCTGCATCTCTGAGACCATAGGATCCTGAGAGATTGCTGCAGACCCTTGGGTTATGGAAAACAGCCTGAGGCTCCAGCCATTCACTTCTGTCCTCATGGGTTTTCTGAGTTTCACAGGGCATGTCTGGAACTGACAGTGAAGGCCTTAGCTGTTAGCCTGGCGTGGCCTCCAAGGGCAGGCAAGCTCTTGGGCAGATTCCCTTAGGCTTCATCTATGCCAACACTCCAGACATCAAGATTACATGAACCAAGATCTTTAGCCAAAGTTTAGATTTCAGCACTCTCTCCGCCCCGCCACAGCAACTGGTACCTCTCTGACATCTGTCTTACATTTGGTAGTTGAGCCTTCTTACACGGGATGAAGGTCAGGTCCTCACTGCCTTCCTGGTGATAGAAAGTAGCCTGGGATCTCCTTCTAAGTAGATGCCACTTGCTTAGGCAGATTTAATTGGTGCTTTTTACACTAGCATTACTCCTTCAAGATGGAAACAGATAACTTCCTAGAGTGACTTCTGCCTTCTGAACTTTTTAGGGGAGTGCTATCAGTGTCATGGAGCCAGGCTGACCCAGAGCTGCTACTCAGTAGTGCCAAAGACAACCAGATCCTGTGCTGGAACCTAGGAATTGGAGAGGTGGGCAGGGGCTCCCCCCCTGGAGCAGGTAGTGGGGGGCAGGAGAGGGAAGGTGGGAGGAGGAAGAGGATGATGCCTCAGGAGCTAGAGCTTTGAAGGGTTCTAAGACCTTGTCTTTGGGGAGTAAGGGCAATTTGGGATGCAGGGGTAGGAGGTAGGAGGAATGTCTCTGATTTCAGGCATGTGCTTAGGATTGCATTTTGGGGGGCCAGGCCCTGATGACTATATCTCCCTGTATCAGGTGGTGTATAAGCTGCCCACACAGAACCGATGGTGCTTTGATGTCCAGTGGTGCCCCCGGAATCCCCCAGTGTTCTCAGCCGCCTCCTTCAATGGCTGGATCAGTTTGTACTCAGTAATGGGAGGGAATTGGGAAGCCCAACAAAAGACCCAGGCTGACAAGGTGAAGGCGAAGGGCGGGGAGCTGTCACTGGGTTAGTCAGACAGGGCACAGGGTACAGAGATGAGTTCTCCTCCGATGTTCCCCCCTCGAGGAGACAGGCACAGTGTCAGTTGTCTGTGTCTGTGGCTTGAGCTTGATGCGGCAGCGGATTGAGGGGCAGGCTGAGTGAGCTGGCACCATGAGAAGAGCACAGGCCCAGGAAGCGAGACCTGGGGTTCAGACTCTACTCTGCTACTTACTTGCCTGTGACCTTGGGGGCTCTCCTGGCCTCTTGGGGTCTTAATTTTCTCATCTATAAAATAGGGAAAAGAATAACATTTCTAATACCCATCCTTGTGATAGCTATTATCATTCCCTGTCTCAAAGGGCTATTTTGCACAAGTGTTTTTGTAGCCCTAAAGCATTCAGTGAGTGTGAGCTGCTGCTGTTCTTGTGTTTATAGAGAGCCTGGCAGATTCTAATCCTCCCTTTCTTGAGGCCTATTAGAGAGGTGAAGACTCTAGCCTGGCACCTCTGCTCTCCCACCTTCCAGGAAGCATCATTTGGGTCAGATCCCAGTGTGGTCTCTGACGTGCAGTGGGTTCCCTACCTCTCAGCTGCAGAGTGTAGAAGGCAGAACTATCAAGCGCAGCTCAGGATTGCCATAGGCTTGCATGATGTGACCTGGGGCCTTGGCTGGGTCCTCTGCTTCATGCTAGTGACGCATCGTGCTTCTGCCTTCAGATCTCATCTTCTTTCAGTAGCCTTGATCCATTTGGCACTGGCCATCCTCTTCCTCCGCTGGAGGTACCCGAGCAGGTGGCCCACACCAACCTAATCCCACCGCCGAAGAAGCCCCCAAAATGGATTCGCAGGCCAACAGGTGCCTCATTTGCAGTAAGTTCTCTTCCCTTCTTGCCAACAAAGAGTGTGTGTGTCTGTGCATGTCTGTGTGTATACAAACCAAAAAACCAATTAACATGAATAAGTTAAGATCTCTTAGGTGTGAACTTGTGCTAATCACTTCTTTGGGCCTCAATTTCCTCATTGGTAAAATGAATGAGTTTAACTAACATTTCCCTTCAGTCTTATGTTCCTGTGAAACCTGTGCTGGGGGCTTTGGAGGAAACAGAAATCTACATGATTACTCCCCTCAGAGACCTTGCATTGAAGACGATGTGGTCTAATGGATGGAGCACTGCTTTGGGAGTCAGGAGACCTAGGTTTGAGACCTGACTCTTCCATGTACTAGCAGTGTGACCATAGGCAAGTTACCTCACCTCGCTAAGCCAGTGTCCACGTCTGTAAAATGTTCTGCCTATTTCAGAAAGTCACAGGGTCATAGGTTTCAGGCTGGAATGGACTCTAGGGGTCTTCTAGTTCAGCTTCCTTATTTTGCAGATGAGGAAATTGGGACCTAAAAATGTTAAGCAACTTGCTTAATGCCCCTCAGATAGTATATGACAAATCCAGTGTTTGAACCCAGGTCCTCTGACTTCATCTACCACCCTTTCCACTGTCCTACACGGTGGCATATGAGGATAAAATGAAATAATGTCTTTTAAAACACTTTGTAATCTGTAAGGAGTGTATTCCTTTTTAGTCTATACTGGAATACAAATGTAACAGCTAAGTGTCCAAACTTTTATTCAAGCTAAGGACCCACGGGAGTTCAGAGAGAGGGGTTTGTTGTAGGATAGGTAATCAAGGAAAACTTCATGAAGATGGCTTTTAATCTGGGCTTTAAAAAATGGGTAGGTCAAAAATGAATGGTCGAGGAGAAGAGCAGAGAGTACTCTTTGTGGGAGAAGTCAGTCCAGAGTAAGCTTCGTGGGTTAGGGGGACAGGAGGTCTTCGAGCTGGAGCCAGGGGTACCCAGGGGAGGCTAAGAAGGGCTTTTGATTGGTGGGCAAAGGAGTTTGGCCTTCCTTCCGTAAGGTGAGGAAGGCTTATAAGTAGAGTAGTGGCAGATCTATGTATACTTGAGGGATGGTGATTTGACATTGATGTGGCCAAGGGAGAAACTGGAGGCAGAGCAGCCAATTAGGAGACTATTGCAATGAACAGGAGCAAGGTGACGAGGATCAAAAATAGTGGTGGCATTGGAGGTCAAGAGGTGGGAAAAGGTGCAAAAGATCTCCTGAAAGAAGAAATAACAGACCTTCATCCGTGACAGCTTGGAGAAGGGGGGAGAGAAGAGGGAAGAGTCAAAGGTGACACCAAAGTTCCCATCCAGGATGACTAGGAGAGTTTGTATTTACAAGCACAAATGTTTATAGTGAAGTCTGAACACAAACAGACCAGGAGGGCACAGTTTAGACGTACCCGCCCTTCTCAGTCCTGTCTGGGGAGCTCTGGTTGAGGAAGGCACATTCACTAGGGATATGTAAGACGTGACCTGTTCAGGTCAGTTTGTCCAAACATGTTAGCCAGCGCATCACTCTGGCTGCACTGATTCCTTCCCTGCTGGTCCCAGTATCTGATCTTTCCTTGGCTGGGGTAAGTGAGCCTGACTGATGCCGCTTACTCATAAGGACATGGGATTTCAGAGAGGGAAGCACATTTAAAGACTGTCTAGTCTAGTCGTCCGTTTTAAAGGTGTGGAAACTCAGGCCTAGAAAGGTGAAGTGCCTGGTCCAGAGTCACACAAGGGGCAGAGCTGGAGTTCAGATCCAGGATGGCACTGACAGTGGTCTTTCCCTTCCCTATGATGCTGCTTTCTTTGGTGGCAGTGGGAAGGAGAGGAGAAGACACAGACCATGTTCTTAGCTTTGGCATAGCTAGAATGTGTGTGATCTTTCTTCTTTTTACAGTTTGGGGGGAAGCTGGTTACTTTTGGTCTGCCCAGCCCCCCAACCCAGCAGGCACCACAGCCTGGCTCCCACTTCATCTTCATCAGTCAAGTTACCACAGAGTCTGAGCTGTTGGCACGGTCCCAGGAACTTCAGGAGGCCTTAGGGTCAGGTAGTCTCCTGAATTACTGTCAAAACCAGATCCATCGAGCTTCATCGCCCTCTGAGAAGGACATCTGGCAGTTCCTAAAGGTATGAGACTCAGTGGATCCTATGCCTCCTCAGAGGCTTTACCCCTCAACTAGCCCCCTAGTCATGTACTGGGCACACAGCGATAATGCAAGCCTGTGGCTACCGAATGTTAAGCCTTTGCTGAAGGCTTGAACGCAGAGAGGATAAAGGAAGGGAGGGAGGGAGGGAGGAAGGAAGGAAGAAGAGGAGAGGTGGGCTATGGAGGACTTGTCTAGCTCACAGGGTGAAAATGAAGACCTCAGAACAGTCCTGGGAATGAGGACCTGCTAGAATGACTGAGATAAGGCGCTAAGGGAGATGGTGTGGGGTCAGGGAGAGGCTGGAAAGGTAAATAGCAAGGCAGGGGACCTGAAAAGGACTCCAGGTGTTTCCTTCAGACACAGAATATTTTTTACACAATATTTTGATGACAAAGATTGAAAAGGTTGAGGTAGAGAGACCAGAGATAAGTGGTTGTAAGAGATGACTAATGTTAAATAAAGACTGAGAGGAGTAGATTCTGGGGAAGAAACAGGGTGAAGAGATTAATCAGTAGATATTTATTAAGTACCTACTATGTGCAAAGCACTAGGGAGGTAAAAAGAGGTAAAAGACAGTCCCTGCCTTTAAGAGCTAACAGTCTGATGGGGGAAACAACAGCAAAAAAATATGTACAAGGCAAACTATACACAGGATAAATGAGAAAATAAGGAACAGAGGGAAGGCTCTAGAATTAAGAGGGGCTGGAGAAGGCTTCCGGTAAAAGAAAGGATTTTAGTTGGGAGTTAAAGGAAGCAAGAAGAGTCAGAGCAGAGGAGGGAGAGCATTCCAGTGATGGAGAAGAGCCAGAAAAATACCCAGAACCAAGAGAGAGAGTGTCTTGTTTGTGGGATAATGGAAGCTAGTGTCACTGGATCGAAGAGTACATGACAGGAGCTAAGGTATAAGAAGACTGGGAAGGTAGGAAGGGGCAGGGTTGTGAAGGGCTTTGAATGCCAAACAGAGCATTTTGTATTTGCTCCTGGAGGCAATAAGGAGCCAGTAGAATTTATTGAGTAGGGGGCGACATGACTGGATCACATTAGAATGAATGATGGATTGGAGTAGGGAGAGGCTTGAGGCAGGCAGACCCATCAGCAGGCTATTGTAATATGCCAGGCATAAGGTGATGAGGGAACAGTGTCAGAGGTGAGAAGGGGGCTTATTCAAGAGATGTCGCAAAGATGAAATCTTCAAGTCTTGACATCATATTGGTTATGAGAGATGAGAGATAGTGAAGAATCTGGGATGACTCCTGGGTTATGAACCTGAGGAACTGAGAGGATAGTGTTGTTCTCTCAAGTATTAGGAAAGGTGAGAGATGGGGAAGGTTTAGGGAGAAAAATAATGAGTTCTCTTTCATACATTTTAAATTTAAAATGTTTACTAGATATCCCTTTTGAGATGTCTCAAAGGCAGTTGGAGATCACCAGAGAATTTCAGTCGTATTAGGTAGATTTGAGAATCATCAGCATAGAGATAAGTGGTAATTAAATCCATGGAAGCTGATAAGATCACCAGGTGACATAGTGTAGAGGGAGAAGAGAAGAGGACAGTACCCTGAGGGATACTCATGTTGGAGAGCACTGTCTGGAAGAGGATCCAGCAAAGGAGACAGAGAAGGGGCAGTCAGATAGGTGGGATGAGAACCAGAAGAGACGGAGAGGTGTCCTGAAAACCTGGAGGGTGGAGAGTATCAAGGGGGAGAAAGTGATCAATGGTGTCAAAGGCTGCAGAGAGGTAGAGGAGTCTGCAGACAGAAAAGGATGAGATGCCAGAAAGGGCAGTCTGTCGGAGGAGACGGGATCGAATGGGACTGTTTAACATGCGAAGGGGTTGCTAACCTTGGTAAGGAGTGATGCCACTTCATCATGTGAAATAGAAGTGAAGGAAGGAAAATAGCAAAAGGTACCAGAGTGATAGGAGACAAGGAAGAGGGAAGAAGAAGGAACTCACAGCCAGTGGCCTCAATTTTTTCAGTAAAAGTTGGGACACTGCCACTCTGGGGTCACCTGAAACAGCAGAGATTGGTTTGGGTGATGACTGACCACTAACCATCAAACTGGATTGGAATTGAAGCTATGTTAGCATTTCTAGGGAAAGGGGACGTGGGAGGGCATGGAGTGGGAGTCAGGTCATGGTCCTGATACAAAGAGCAGAACCACCGAACAAGGTGCAAACAACCAAGTTAGAAAAGGCTGGAGCGCGCCTAGATTGGAAGGAGTGAAAGGCAGTTTGCCTCCCATCTTAGGGCAGTGAGAAGTGGGGTTAGTCTCCTCCTGTGTGCAGAGCACTGGGTGTAAAGGAGCAGGGAGAGTTGGATTCTGATCAGGTACCAGAACAAAATGGGGTGTCAGGCAGAGCTCAGAAAGAGTTCAGTCCCTGGGCAGTTAAAGGGAAGTCAGCTCCCATGCATTCAGAGCAGACCACTAAGTTGGAGGGGAGATAGTCTTTGCCTTTGCTCACCTAAGTCACTTGGGACTTCAGCCCAAGCCATTTCAGGAATGGAAAGAACCTTGACATTTTGGAACAGCCTCTGCCAAGTGTGGCTCAGGAGAGGTCCAATCACTGATTGACTGACTTACCTCTGTGTCCCATGGTTCCCTAGGTGGCCTTGGAACAGGAATCCAGGACCAGATTCCTCAAGCTGTTAGGATATAGTAAGGAGGAGCTTGATGAGAAGGTGAGCTGCTCTCCAGTTCAGACACATGTGTCAGCTTCAGAGAGTAGGAAAATCTGTCAGGAAAGACACAGAAACTGGGTTCCTTCCTTGTCATTGTGCCTGTAGCCCTGGTCCCCTGGGCTCAGGTCCTTTTCCTCCCTGACACTCCAGAAGGAGATGGCCCAAGGTTATCAGACAAGACCCACGAGAGATTCGTGGAGCATTGATGGGCAAGCAGAGGGAGCAAGGGCTCGAGGCAATGGAGTGTGAACCCAACCTGCAGCCCTGTTGTTCCCCCAGTATACACACACCCAGTGCACACCGTGATCCTCCTCATTCCATGTCCTTGTGTGAAGCAGAGGACCGTCCCAGCCCAGACTGAGGGAGGAAAGGCAAAGGGGTCATTCTGAGAGTGTGCTCACAGCTCTCTTCCTGCAGATGACTGCATGTTTGGGGAGTGGTTCAGAAGTAGGTGAGAGTCCTCACCCCAAAGGAGGTGACCTCCACTGGAACAGACAAGCCTTCTGCAGGCAGGTGTGGTGGGAGCCCTTCCTGGACATTCTCAAGGCCCATGGGAGGGCGGGCTTGGGGCTTTGGGCTACCTTCCCTGTCCCAGTACTCAGCTCCCATTGCAGTTCCTCAGGTTTCTGTAAAGCCCAAGGTGGGGTTGTGCCTTAGCTCATTTAACCTTTCCACTTCTTCACTTCATCTCCATGCTCACCCGTGAAGGGACGGATGAGGGAATGGGCTCACAGAGGGGCTCCCCTGGCTAGCCAATAGGCTGCCTTCGAGTACAAGTCCTAGGTTATCACCTTTCTCCATCCACTCCTGGTGCAGGGCTCCAGACGCTCTTCGGAGGAATCTGTTACATCCTCTGCCTTCTTTGATGAACTTGTCCCTCAGAACATGGCCCCGTTGGAGATCCCTGTCACAGAAGGTGCTGCCACCTCAGAGAGGACTGTGTCCAGACTTGTACAAACTCAGACAGTAAGCCCCATGCTCCCATGTGGAGCATGGGGAGGGGCCTATCCCTGAACAGAGGTCATGTGAGAGGCATTTCCTGGGTACAAATAGTATCTCTACACTTGCCATCTATTTCATTTTTTATCCTGCTTTATCTCACTGTCGGCGCCTTTCCTTTGACATGGTTTTCAGGGGTGGCTTTATCCTGTTGCCTATTGGGAAAGGTTTAATGGAAGGTGCTATATAGCAGCTCTGCATAGTATCTCCTTTCCCAGTCCCATCTTTCTTTCTTTTTTTTTTTTTTTTAGGCAATTGGGGTTAAGTGACTTGCCCAAGGTCACACATCTAGTACATGTCAAGTGTTTGGTCTGAGGCCGAATTTGAACTCAGGTCCTCCTGACTTCAGGGCCGGTGCTCTATCCACTGCGCCACCTAGCTGCCCCAGTCCTATCTTTCTGCCTGAGGAGCAAAGAGATTCCAACACCCACAAATGCTTGCCTCCACCAAAGACAGTTTTAGTGGTTTCCAGGCCCCTTCCCAGCCTGGAATAGTCCTGGGCAAACTCCAAGGGAGGGAGACTTGAGAGTCCTAGATGTGTATTGGGCAGAGGTTCAAGTAAGGGGAACTTTGAGGGCTGTCATTTCCATAGCTGGGTAAAGGAACAGGGGCTCTGGGTCTTAGGTATATATAAGGGGGAATGATGGGAGGCTCAGGTCTCGGGGGGTGGGGTGGGGAGGGAGTCCTGTATGTAGCTGTTGAGGGTGTGAGTTACAGGTTTTGGTGGGGAAGAGAACAAGGTCCTATGTTTGTGAAGAGGTTCTTGGGGAAGAAGCAAAGCTCAAGGTCTGTGATTTGACGATGGAAGTGGGGGCCCTCTCCTTGCAGACACTGATGGGCTGCTAAGCCAGGCCCTGCTGCTGGGAGAACTAGGCCATGCTGTGGAATTGTGCTTGAAGGAGGAGAGGTTTGCAGATGCCATCATCCTGGCTGGAGCTGGGGGGGAGCAGTTGTTGCGGAAGACTCAGCAGCGCTACTTTGCCCAGAAGAAATCCAGGATTGCCTCAGTATGTTCCAGTCACTGGGGGAGAGAGGGCTTATTGTGTCAAACACGGATATGGGGCTTGTGTGTCATGCAGTGCACATTTAGGGCATGACTATACAATGTGGGCATTACACCAGTGTGTGGGTGTGGTGCCTGCGTGCTGCATATGGTCTTTCCCAGCTGCTATGTAGGGAACCCTTCCTCCCAGTGCCCCTCCCCACTGTGCCCTCAGGCCCAGTGCTGACAGCCTTTCTCTTCACTCTCTGCAGCTTCTGGCTTGCATGGTGGAGCAGAAGTGGAGGAGTGTGGCATGTTCATGCAGTCTGAAGAGCTGGAAAGAGGCTCTGGCCCTGCTGCTGACACACTGTGGCCACCAAGACTTCCCTGAGCTCTGTGGTGGGTATGCCCAGCCCTCCCTCTTCCCTGAGCCTCTTCCTTCTCACCTCATCTCCCTGGTCAAATGAGGCAAACCATTATCGTTGTCTAACTGCCACACCACATCCCAGGTGTGCCATTGCCATGTCACCAGCCATGGAGACCAGGCTGCCCTGGTGCCAGGCATCCTTCTGGAAGAGAAGCACGAGGAGGGAGCTTGGATTTCCAATGTTAGTAAAACTTCCTTCTGCAGATATGCTGGGGACCCACTTAGAGCAGGAGAGTGGAGGAACGCTGTCTGCAGAAGCCTGCCTTTGCTACATCTGCTCAGGAAATGTGGAGCGGCTGGTAGAGTGCTGGGCAAAAATCCACCAGACTTCTTCACCCATGGCTCTGCAGGTATGAGAACCATGTGCATACTGACATAGGCACTGATGCCGTGCTCTGAGATCTGCTGCCGCAGGATCAGGAAAGCGAGGACCAGAGGCTTTTGGGACGAGTGAGGTCCCTCAGTGTTTGGGACTTTCTTGAGGTAGCCAGGGTTGGAATGAGGGAGAGGTTGACCTGGTTTGGGTGGATCTGAGCCGGCTGAACAGAAAGGAAGGTGGAGGTTGGGGACAGAGAGTAAACAACCTATTTCTGTGGAGTAACTGCCTCACTGGTTTGGTCAGAAGGCTCACTACCCCCTCCATACTCCCTGGGAAATTGCTTGATGTTAACTTCTGGGCAGTTCGTCAGACCGAAGAGACTTCTCATCCTTGTCCTTTTCCTTGTCGCCAAAGGACTTGATGGAGAAGGTGATGGTTCTTAGTAGGAGTCCAGAGCTGCTCCAGCGCCCTGAAGGGGCAGTCCCTGGCCCTGCCGTGGCCCATAGAGTTACTCAATATGCCAGCCTGCTGGCAGCCCAGGGCAGCCTCGCCACCGCCATGAGCTATCTCCCCAAGCACTGTGCTCAAGTGAGTAAGCCGCTGGTGGGGGCAGAGAAAGAATGGGTGAACCTGGGGGGTCAGGCCAGCGTGAGTCCTTTGCTCCATCTCTCCATGCTGTTGATATTGCAGCCACCTGTCCAGCAGCTGAGAGATCGCCTCTTCCATGCCCAAGGGTCCAGGCTGCTGGACCAGCAGCCTCCTCCTTTCCCTTTCCCCCGGGTCCCAGTCAGATCCTCTTCCCAGCCTAGAGGCCTTGGAGCCGCTCCCCATGCTGCAGGATTCCGGCCTCTTCACCAGGTGAGGCCCACCATGCAGTGGGATGGGAAGGGCGGGAAAGCATGCCTTGCATATTCACGTATGTGGAAAGGACATTGCATTTTGGGACAGAAGAGCAGTTCTACCATCTCCTGTCGTCCTGTGACGTTAGGAAAATAATTTCAACTCTCTAGGCCTCAGTTTTCTCATTTGTGAAATAAGAGTTAGACGGGGCAGCTAGGCAAGTCACTTAACCCCAATTTCCTAAAAGCAAAAAAAAGAAAGAAAAGAAAAGAGTTAGACGAGATCAGTTTGAAGGTTCCTTTGAGCTCTAAATTTAGTAAATGATGGATCTCAGATCTTGAGGTTGAGGGTGTCAGCAACATGCTGAGAACACCTCCATGAACTGGCCCCTTCTCTTTTGCTCCTTGAAGAAACCTTTCACCTCCCAAGGCCTAGATTAGATTCATAACCACAGTCAACTCCTGGCTGGCCTTGTCTTATAACAGCAATAGATCACTTCTACCAATAGAAGACAGAAGTTGTTTCCTTCTATATCTCCTCCCTAAACCCCTGGTTTCTGTCACACTCCTGGATCCCCCCGCTCTCCGCAGGTCTCAACTCCAGCCCCAGGACCAGGGGTCTTCTTGCCTCAGCCCTCGGCGACAATGGCCCTCACCCACCCAGGCATCTATCAGGGCACCAGATCCCAGACCACAAGGGACTCTAGGGCAGCAGGTGCTCAGCTGGTTCTGCCTCCCCCCTCAGGTCCTAGAGTAGGTCCAGGTGAGTGAGTTGCTGTGAGTAGAGTAACCAGGAAAAATTGCCCGAGTTATGGCTTGGTCTTGCCAGGTGCCATTCTCCCATTCCTCTCTGACCAATTCCTGGGCTCATGTCGTAATTCTCCTTTTTCTATAAGGGTCACCAACCTCTTTCCCATTTCTGTTTCAGCTCTGCCTCAACCACAACTGCTGGGAGCTCAGCAGACCCAAGCCCCTGGTCCTGTGGGCTTCCCAGGCTCCCAGCCTTTCCCTGGGCCACCTCCACCAATGGCTTCCCAGACAGTATCATTTCCTGGCTCTACTTTCCTAGCAGGGGCCCCAGGCCTGTCAACTTCACTTCCGGCCTGGACCCCTGGTCCTGGCCTACCACCCCTAGTTCCTCCTATCAGTTTCCCTGTGACATGCTGTCCTCCTGGAGGGCCTGGTGCTCCAGTTTCTAGAACTATGCCAGCTACTGGCATCCCAGATCCCCACCCAGGTCAGTTTCTTCCTTCTTTCTCCTTTCTGTCTCCTTCCCACAAGATTCCCTCCTCCTTCCCCCAACAATCGGTCTCCACCAGAAAGCTCGCTTCTGATTTCTAGTCTTCTGTCCTTCCATCACTGTCTGGGCCCTCATAGGGTTAGAAAATGTCAGGGGAAATGGTTGAGGATGAATGACAATATGCATTTGCTTCAGCTGATGGAGGGCAGGAGGGTGAGATTGCTGTTCCCCTATTCCATTGACCTCCATCCTTGGGGGACCACAGTCCCTTATCCTTCTTTCTATCCATCCCTCTGTGGCTTACAGGGCCCCGAGGACCCTGCAGAGATACCTCAGCTTCCAAGGGAGGCCTCCAAAGGACAAAGGTTAATCCCCATCTTCTCTTCACATGCACCACTCTGCCCACCCCCTCCACAAACATCCTGACTCTACTCATTTTCCCCCACCAAAACCCCACTTGCCCACTCCTCCCTCAAGTTGCACCCCTCCCCCCACTTCCACTCTTCAAACTTCTATAAGAGCCCAAGGAGGCGCCCAGCTGGACTTGTGACTCTTTATGTTCTTCATTTTAGCTGCCGGAAATGTTTACTCCACCAGCCCCCATCACTGCTCCTATTGGGAACCTGCCGCCTAATCCTCGAGAAGCCTGCTCCCCTGGCCCTCCCATCTCTGGTATGGGTCAGGCTCCCCCAGGAGCTCCAGGAGAGCTTACTCTGCAAGTAAGATAAATGAAAGGGGGGGTGGGGTTCTTCCCCCAGTGCCCCTGTACATAGAGACCTTGTGTTTTAACTTCCCTCTATGCTGTGCTATACAGAGTGAGAGCTAGCTCAGACCGTAGGGGCCAGAGCCTTTTCCCAAGAGGGATCAAGGTGATGCTTTTGGGACCACGGAGTCAGTCCTCAGGGAATGCAAGAGAAGAACAGCTTGTCTGTTTATCCAGTCTGGTCTGTGTGTCTTGCTGTTCTGTCTGGACTGACCTACCCATCTGACTGGCCTGTCTGTCTCATTTATTAGCAGCTACAGCAGCTGCCACCTGAGCAAGTGAAGAAGAAGGAGATGCCCCTGGAACATCAACCCCTGAAGACCAGTTTTGAAGCCCTTCTGCAGCGCTGTGCCCTGTCAGCCTCTGACCCTGTACGTATGACTTGGAGGTGGAGGACCCTGCTCTCCACCCCCTCCCCAAAGGACAAACTCCAGGTTATCTCCACCCTCAGCAGCAGGTCTCTGCTCAACCTCCCTGACTTCCTTTGTCCCCACTCTGTGAACTGTGTCTGGATATGATGCTCTGGAAGGGTTAATACCTGAGGGTAAGAGAGGGAGAGTTGTACAGAATGTGAGGCCTTCCCACTCCCTCTGACCTTTGGGGAGGGTCTGGAGTGGGGCAGCAGGGATGACTTCCAGCTCAGGCCCTTGGGCTAGCTTATACCCCTTTGACGGACCATGGCAGGGTGGAGGAAAGTGCTGTCTAACACTGGTCCCTGGCCAGGCTCATACCCACAGATCTTTTCCCTTTACTTTCAGAAAACAAAACGGAAGCTAGAGGAGGTAGCTCTAAGACTGGGATATCTATATGAGAAGCTACAGGAGGGAATGGTAGATACCTCTCCTTTTTCCTTTTTTGAGATGTATCCTCTAACCTCAGTGGGAGGGCTGGTGCTATATGAATCTTTCCCTAAAAAACCCACTGACCCAGACATATTCTTGCCTTCTATACCTTCACAGCTCTCTCCCAACGTCCTGGCTGGGCTCCATGAGGTCTCCCGATGTGTGGATTCTGGCAGCTATGAGCAGGCGCTGGCAGTGCACACCCAGGTGGTGGGCAGCAGCAGCTTCAGTGAGGTGTCTGGCTTCATGCCTGCCCTGAAGACCATCCTAACTATTGCCCACAAGCTTCAAGGACAGTGAGATGGGTCATCTTGTCCTTCTGACTCACTGTCTATATCTCACCCACAGACTCTGAGAGTGGGAGACTGACAAAGCACTGAGATAGATGGAGATAGATGGTTCGATGGCGTATCTCCCACCCCCCTCAGAATTAAGCCTTGGGAAGGAGGATAAGAAAAATGGTCTCTTTTCCTCTCCCATGTCTCCACTGACCCCCAGTCCTAGATCTGCTGCTATCGACTCACCTTGGCTCCCACTGAGCTCTGCTCCTTCCCCTAGCCTGTGTGGGAACTGACTTAGTTTGGCGGTGTGTTGCAAAGGTGGATTCTCATCCCATCCTTTACCTTCCCTACTCAGTTTATCTCCTCAGCCCATCCCAGGTTCCTTTAGACTCTACTGTCTCCTGCCTTCTTCCCCTCAGCAGTCTTCAAAGAGGGTGAAAGAGAAAGGATTCTGCACCCCTTCCCTATTTCCACTAGTGTTTTGGGTACCCACAGTGAGCATTCTTTTCACCTCTCTTTTTTGTGGCCCTGTTCTTACCCTCCCCCTTATCCTTAGGCCTGTCTCCAGTTCTGTTAGAGTTACACAAGATCTGGCTGGTGCTCAGTCCAGATCCCTGGTCAGTTAGGGCGGGGGTGGGGTGGGGTTAAAGGAAGGCACCAGACTATGGAGAAGAATGGAGAGTAGGGCCTCCTCTATCAAGTCTGCTCAGCAGTTGGGCTGGCCAAGTTATCTTTTCCCTTTTCCTCCTGTAGGTTGGGTGGATGCATGTGTGTGTGCCCAGAAATCCAAAAGCTTAGTCCACGCTGCCTTCTTTCCCCACTCTGGGTGGATGGCTTGTGATATAGTCATAAGTGATCATCAGAATATGTACCCTGTGGTCCCAAGTGGTTGTTAGACAGTCCATGCTATGGTCACAGGTGCTACAGGACAGAGGAGTGAGGGAGGGAAGAGAAGCCTTCCCCTTGCTCTGTTGTCCATGGGTTGGTCCCCAGGAGGGTGGAGCAGACATGGGGAGCTCTCAGGCCCCTCTGGCTCCTCTTCTTCTAAGCTCCTCACCATGTGCCTCAGGCCCCCTTCTTTGGCTGCCTCTCACCCTTTGGATTCTGCTGTTTGATGCACTGAAGTACTTGAGGATGAAATAAAGCGCTTTGATTGTATTTTCTCAGTTGTCAGGAGCATATGTATATGCATGTGTCATTCCAGAGCCTTCCTTGTCTCTTCCCCTTCCTGCAGTAAGCCCTTCCTGAGTGCTTGTCATAGGCCCCACATGGTCTCTGCTATCCGTTAAGCTTAGTGTTACTAAGGTTATAGGATGAACTTAAGATGTAAATGATGGTGCACATAGGATACAGTTGATGCTATTGGAACAGTATGGGCTCAGGTTGTCAGGGAGGCCTTTCTTGAGGAGGCTAGACTCATTTGAGGGGGAAAAGGGACAAAATACATCCACCCCTGAAGGCTCCCTATCCTATAAGAAGAAAATGGGGGCTACAAAGGTAAAGCCTTCCAAAGTTTCTTATGGAAGCCACTGTCACTAAGGAGAGACCCATGTCAGGGCCCTGACAGATCCCTAGAAGCAGCCTCTCCCCTCAGAGCCCCACCCCCAAAAGCCCAGGATCCTGTTCAGTCTTCCTGATAGATAGACTTCCTTAGGAAACTTACTGACACAGGCAAGTGTCCATGACCGGAGTCTGGGAGGGCTTCAGGCTGGAGATGACCTTCAGTGATTTTGGCTTCTACTTCTGGAGCATTTTAAAGTTCACAAGTGCTGTAGTGCTAGGTGGAAACAAATACAAGTGTGGAACCATTCTATTTTATAAGCAAGAAAACTGAAACTCAGAGAATTGAAATCACTTGACCATAGTTAAGCAGGTACTAAAAGCGGCAAATGACAATCTTCTCTGGCTTTGTCTTATGTCTTATCTCCTATGGGATAGGTATGATTTTGAAAAGCATGGGATGGTGGGGGAGGACTCCAGAATATGATGTATAGTCAACAGCTGGGCAGCCCTACCCCAGGACTACAAGTTGTTTAGAATAGCTCACTATCCAAGACATATAGGATATATCCCTTTGTACTTAAGAATGAACAAGCTACTTAGGCTTTTCTCATCCAATCTCAGGGAGCAAAGCCTAGGCACTTTTGAATAGCTCAGTCATCAATAAGAGCCAGATAAGAAAGTACCCTACGTTGCTGGAATTTCTATGATTCTATTGTTTACAACTTATGAATTAATCAGCTGTTTTATCTCTTTCTTCCTCTATTTATATTAGGGGTCCTTAACTTTGTGCCCATGGACCCCTAAGAAATCCATAGAGTGATTTCAGGGGGTCTGTGAACTTACATAGAGAAATACTATATCTTTATTTCAATATAAGCAGCCTCCTTTATCATTCTATTTTATTGTATGCATTTACTAACATTCTAAGATGGGATTGGTTATTTCATGGAACTTCCAAATGGGTCCATGACCAAAAAAGTTAACCTTTGTTCTAGGGGAAGGGGCTCAGTCTTACCAACTTGCACCAACATAGTCTTGTGCTAGCCATGAGGAATATAAGGTGAAAAATAATAAAAATCCTTGCCTTCAAGGAGCTTACAATCTAGTAAGAGGGTCATTGTCAGCATTTGATTCTATTCCATTCAACAGACATTTATTAACAATTAGAATGCAGGTTAGAATATGTTAAATTCATAGAAGAGCTCAAGGGGAAGGCAGGGAATTTTACCCTCTTTGATGGGGAATGAGGAGTGGTGGAGGAAAACATCATGGAGAAGTTTGCACCTGAGTTAGGTTTTGAAGGAAGCAAAATATGTGAACAGATGGAGATGTGAAGGGTACAGGTGCAAAACTAGCCACACCAAAATATGTAGTCCAGGTTGTTAGTGATGGGCTGTTAGTAAGAGGGACCCAAGTGGGCTGGATGAGTAGAATTTGGAGGCACAGATTTACCAATAGTTGAATTATTTTTGTGATGAAAATCTCCAACTTCTTCCGCTTTCTTTTTTAGGGGTGAAGCTCACAACTGGCCCAGATTACTAGGAGTCCATCTTTTTTTAAAATTGATTTCTTTTGTCTTTAACATCAACTTCATTTCTAAATTTATCCTTCCCTCATCCTTTACCTTGAGAGTTATCTTTTGTAAGAAAGAATAAAAAAGAAACCAAAAAATAGTTTAGCGAAGTTAACCAACATATCAACTAAGCCTGATGGCAAATGCAATGTTCCCCATCCATGGTTTCCTACCTTTTTGAGGAGGAGAGGGTAGTATACTTTCTCATCTCTCAGGCCAAGATTTTTCATTATGATACTATAGTCAGCTTCAGGTTTTTTGTTCTTTCTATTAACATTGTTATAATCTCTGAGTAAATTGTTTTCCTGGTTTTGTTGGTTTCCTGGTTACTGTTCCCTGCATCAGTTCATATATCTTCCCATGCTTCTCTGAATTCTTCATAGCATCATTTCTTAAACTACAGTTATATTCCATTACATTAATGTGCTGAACTTTGTTTAGCCTTTCCTCAATTGATGGAAATCTTTTTTGTTTCCAGTTCCTTGATACCACAAAAAGTGCTGCTGTTGGTATGCTGATGCATGTAAGATCTTTCTGTTTGTCAGCCTTTGTCCTCCTTGGGGTATATGCCTAACAGTGGGATTTCTGAGTGGAAGGAAGGAAGGACAGAAGAAAAGAAGAAAGGAAAGAAAGAAGGAAGTAGGGAGAAAGGGAGGTCTTATTTAGGAGTCAAGCCAGGGTTAGGACTGGGAGGGGAATGAAGGCTGGCCTAAGCCACTCCACAAAATGGAAGCTCTAGGAGGAATTCATCAATGGAAGAAGGGGGTGGGCCTTACCAAGGGATACTGTTGCCAAAATGAAATAATGAAGAGAGCATCAGTGAAGAAGTAAGGTAGTGAGTTTGCCATCATTATAGATTTTTAAAATTTTTTATTGATATTTTCTGTATTTCATATCACCATAGTTATACCAAGTATCACTTCTGCTCCTCTTCCTCCTTCTCCCCAAGAGCCATCCCATAGGACAAATGGTATTTTTTAAGAGAGGAAAAAAAAAGTCAGCACAACTGATCAATACATTGGAAGAGTTTGAAAGCATATGTTATGTGTACCATCTGTGAATCTCCTACCTCCCTGGAGGGGTAGGTTGGGTATTTCTTCTCATATCTCTTCATTTGAATTCTACTTGATCTTTATAATTTTATTACATTCACTTTTGATTTTTGTGTGTGTCATTCTTTCCATTTACATTGTTGTAGTTACTGTGTATATTGTTTTCTTGGTTCTGCTTACTTCATTCTGCTTCCGTTCATATGGATCTTTCCATTTTTCTCTGTATTCGTCACACAAATCATTTCTTACAGCACAGTAAGATTCCATTACATTCATGTACCACAATTTGTTTAACCATTCCCAATTAATGGACATCTACTTTGTTTCCAATTCCTAACTATCACAAAAAGTGCTGCTATAAATATTTTGGAGGATATGGGGACTTATTATTGATGGCTCCTTTGGGGTATAAGCCCAGTAACGGAGTCTCTGGTTCAAAGGGTCTTGACATTTTAGTTACTTTATTTGCATAATTCAAATTGCTTTTCAAAATGGTTGTACCACCACTCCCAAACTAAAGAGGAAATCCATTGAAGAAGGAACTTTCCATAAACAATGATACACCAAAATGTAATGAAGCTTGAGGAAGACAATTTATTTATCTGCACTCAGCAGATGAAAAATTATAATCCAAAGCAATTGAGGAAAACATGTTATATGGAACCAGGTGAGAAATGAGAATACAATGAATTTGGAGCTAGGGATGGGATAGTTCCATCCAATAGTGTAATTCTTCCTTCTCCAGGTCTCAGTGAATTTCTTCTTTCCTTTACTGACATGGGAGAGAAATCCAAAGACTTTAACCTGAAGCACTCACAATTTCACACGTCTCATTAGGGTTGGACTTCTTCACAATGTGAAAAACACAGGACTTGGCATCAAAAATATCTATACAGTCTTTCTTGTCAAATGTAGAGGGAATTAGGTAGCTTTGGGAAAGGAAAAGCAAAAAAAGAAACTGGTTAGAATATTCTTTGAGCCATCTCTTCCATAAAGTCTTCCCTGATTACCCCATTTTATGGAGACCAGTTTGCTTTCTCACCTTGCAAATTACCAGGCACTTACATGACAAACTAGTAAAGGTGACCTCCACTGAATTCTCTGAAGCAAATATCTCTTTATCAAAAGTAATTGATGTTCAGTGGTTAAGTAGACCTGGGATGCTAGACAAGGGCATTCAGTGGCGAGGTGAAGCTAACATACCTGGAATGGGGGTTAGAGCTGATAGCATTAGAGAAGTGATGCCCTAACCCTTCGGGATTCCCCTAGAATACTGAGAGGAGGAAGGAGCTATCCATGCTCAGAGAAAGTGAGGTTGTAGAGTACACAATGCACAGAGGAAGACCAAAATATTTACAGTAGCCCTCCTTTGTGGTTAGGAGCAAGTTGGAAATAAAATGGGTGACTATTGCTTGGGGAATGGCTGAACAAATTGTGATTCATAAATGTAATAGAATATTATTGCACCATAAGAAACAATGAGTATGAGGAATTCAGAGAAACATTGGAAGACCTTTATGAATTAATGCACAGTGAAGTAAGCAGAACCAGGAGAACAGTGTAGGCTAAAAGTCAGACCAGCTCTGATTAAATGTAATAACCAATCTTGGCTCTGGAGAATAGATAATGAAACATACTTCTCTCCTCAGGGAGAGGTGAGGGGGATGGAAATACAGATGTAGAATGTTCTATTCACTGTCAGTAATGTTAGTTGGTGTTGCTTAACTATTTTAGAATGTTACAAGGAAGGGTTCAATATATGTATGTGTGTGGTATGGTGCTATTGGGATATGTCTGTGATGTAAAAACAAAGGCATCAATAAAACCTTGTAAGAAAAATTAGTAAATTTTGGACCCAAAATAGGCTAATGTATAGAGGTGGGTGTCTCTAAGCCACATTGTCCAAACTAGATACAATTGTTCCTTATATGAAATGTTCTATATGTTGTGCTCTTGGTCATTGCATTTGTTTGACAATGCTACACAGCTCTACCTTATTTAAATTAAATTAATTTAATTTAATTTAAATT